AATATAATTCTTACAATTACTTGATTTTTCTCGGCGTCTGTGACTTGGGCGTTGCGAACGCGCTTCGTAATGCCGGTGTGCCGGGTTTGATCCCAGCCGCGGACGGCTTGTCTTGCATTAGTTTCGACAGTGGTACCGAGAGCTGACCTTTCAGGGGCAATGGCAAACTAATGAACGTAAAATTTACAGAGAAAAACCACCACAGCCAAACATTGCTGAATTTGGTTCGACAATGTCCTGCAAAGGATACGCAACTAACTTTAACTTTTAACATGATTAATAACAGGAAAGATGATATCAGGAGGAGAATCGGCACAGAAGCACTACTGAAATGTATAGGTACTCAACAAATCAAATGGTTTGGCCATGTAACTAGACTGGTAGCAGAGAGGGCACCATTAGAGAAATGTGATACAGATACAACAGTAACAGACCCAGAGGTCGACCACGCAGAATATGGACCGCAGAAATATCAGAGACACTGAAAAGTAAGGCGGACAGAAGGGCCTGTTCTAGAGATCTCTTCCTCCCATGACGCCGCGAGGCATTCCAGGAGTAGAGAACAGAAGGGCCTGTTCTAGAGATCTCTTCCTCCCATGACGCCGCGAGGCATTCCAGGAGTAGAGAACAGAAGGGCCTGTTCTAGAGATCTCTTCCTTCCCTGACGCCGCGAGGCATTCCAGGAGTAGAGAAAAGAAGAAGAAGAAGATTAACAGGTTGCGTGCCAAATTTCAATAATTACCACTAAACGATAACTGCGTTACATAAAGCAACTACTTCTGAAATGGATTAAAGCAGACATACTGGAGTGCGCCGTGTGACGAAATGGTTTCTTAGCTTTTATTTAACATATTTTATCAATTTAATGTTGAAAAAAGCTACTGTGGTATAGCGGCTAAGTGTATGCTTGCCGACTCAAAGGTCCTGGGTTGAAATTCGCATCGAAGAGGATATTTTGTGTGTGTTCAGAACTGACCCTGGCTCACAGCTTGATCCAGCTTAAAATAGGTACCAGGTAATGACTTTTGAAGTAAAATCGGCCGGCGTATTGTTTACTCCATCACAAATCAGGCTCAGAAAGGTGGGTCCGGTTACGTCAATCCAGAGGTCGCTGGTAGTGAGAATCACCAGGATATTTTGCCCGGTCTATTCGGGTGTGTTTTGGAATGAGCAGACAGATAGGCTGGCTGGAATTACTTCATTTGGGGGTGTACTACAATAGCGCAAAGCAGAAGTGATCTCAAACGCGTGGGATGGGGTAAAAGGGGAAATTAAAGATACTGAAAATCCATACCTGAAGAGAATGATACAGCGAGAAGTAGCTGTGTTCTCTGGGCGCCACTCCAGACTCAGATTGAAGGCAAGACGAGTAGTTGAGCAGACGACAACAGGTACCATCCGTATGGAAACTCATCGCAGACTGTCGTGGAGGAGGGGGTGGAGCTAATATGGGCTCGCCCTGAATGCTGTGCTGAATGCTGTGATGTCGAATCTTCACTCAGATGAAACCTGGACAGTCACAGTCTGCAATAGAACTTCTATTTGTTGTTAATGAAAGCAGCAGCAATAACAAAAGGTTATTGTGCATTACTGCATAGGCCCATCACGTTTGCTGTGTCAAGCAATCATTCTCCATCTTTTTATAAAGTTTACAGCGCAAATCTCCAGGGGTGCAGACATTAAGCATTCGCCCATGACATTCACAGCTCACAGTGTCGCATCATGCACTCAACTCTGTAGCTGGCTTCAGTATAAATCTTGACGTTTGGGAGGCTGCTGCTATCGGATACTATGGCAAACTTCTACCCAAAGAAGCGCAGCAACTTGCGAGGCATCTAGTGAAAGGGCAGCTGAACAGCGCAGGCAGGCTAGAAAGACCCGTATAAAAGGCCTTTTACCGTCTGACACTGTTTCCTGTCATCATTGTCCTATATTTTTCAAGGTCCATACTGGGCTTATAAGTCACATCAAGCTTACAGACAATCAACCCTGGCCTCATGAAAGATGAAAGAGTGGTCCTCATCCTCGTCACTCGTGATGGGCGAACCACAGCTGGCTGATTGAGCAGGATTTCTTCAGGTTTGCTGTCCTATCCATTTTCAAATGGAGGTTGAACTCAAGTCTTCTACTGGATCACATTGTTCAACAGGGTCCACCACATAAAGGTAGGGTGGGCTTGAGCTAAACAGGCTAAAAGAAAGTCAGATTTTTAGGCCTGGTTGTTTAAACCCTAAAAAAATGTGGACACCTGGAAAATATTTGTGGGAACCACTGTCGAAGAAGGTAGGTGGGACCCACTGGATACAAAAAATGTGGACACCTGGAAAATATTTTTGGGTACCACTGTCGAAGCCAACGCAGCAAAATCGCCTGCAGCAGGGATCGAGCACAGCACCTCGGTATCGCAAAACACCTTCGCGTCGCCTAAACCACATATGCCGACATTCATTTATACATTTCAGTGTATTTTAAATCTATTCCTGCACAATAATAATATGAATATTGCATACTCAAACAAGGTTTAAGCCCATGGAAGACGCATGGGCGTAAATGATCTCAACCCCCACCCCCCTCCTATGTTCTCTGTGCCTAGCTGGCCCTGCCCTTGTGTTATTGGTTTCAAGCACGTGATATTATAATTTCTCTTCCTATGCTTTGTTTTGTTTTCTTTCCTGACGTCACGATGTTGTCCAGTGCTTCTGTTCCTATCAGATAATTATTTGTACACTTTGTTTGTTGTCTAGAGTAATCGTTTCTGGGTCCCCGTTGGGGGTGAGGAGGTGGGGTGGGGTGGCCGGGTGGGGGGGATAGAGCCCCTGCCCCCTAACAAGCATGTCGTAAAACGTGACTAATTAGGGGTGTCTCTTTCGAGTCGTAGTGCATCTGCCCTAGCGTCAAGATCCAGATCTGTAAAACAGGTATGCACGCAAAATTCAGGAATAAAACCTCAGTCCAGAAGTGGACGAACGACCATAATTTTCCGTCGGAGTTTACTGCAGGTGTACAGTTAAAAAGGGGGGGGGGCAGAAGATAACGTGGCTGCACCAGTTTTCAGGGAATTGTCAGCATCCAACATCAAGTACGGCGAATAGAATCGAATGGCAAAGTATATTTACGCACAACACCAGGGTCCCAACTATATGACTTGTAATTGACACGACTATTCTGTGGAGGTATTTATTTCCACAATAAACTTGCCCTCAAGAGTTCAACGACAAACATACGTGTGGTTTTAACTGTTGATTTTACCGATATGTGAGTGTAACGTAAAACTGTGTTCGTAAACTCCACCCCGCCCCCTCCCAAGTTGCGTGTCCTTTACATACGTTGTGGGGGCGGGAGGGGGAGGGGAAAAACATTTTTGGCTGTTGCGGTTTTTCTAGGAAAATTTACGTCTGGTAGTTTGCCATTAAACTAAACGGTCCATCTCGATACCACTGCCGAAACCAACGCTGGGCGAAAAAATCGCCTGCAGCTGGAATCGAACCCTGCACCTTGGCATTACGAAGCGCGTTCGCAACTCCTCAGCCACAGACAGGGCAAATAGTTTCTAGTAAGAATGCGACCAGAGCAACTACCAGCACAGGCGCAACACATGAACAGATCTGATGTGTAATCAAGAGGTCTTTTCCGGAGATATGGATTGATGACATTAAAATAAATTTCCTTGAAACGAGCTACCGCCAAATTGACGTTGTAGCCATGGCTAGCCCATTAGGTCCCATCTTGGCCGACATCTAGCAGATCTGCTCACATCAGGGATTTATTTTTGTACCGTCGGTATGTAGATGACATTCTAATAGTAACTGCTGACAAACAGCAGGCCACTGCGTTCCCTACCACCATGAACCAGTCACACAGAAACATCACATTATCGTTACAACACGAACATGACGGCACTTTACCATTCCTTGATGTACTTATTGCACGTAGAGAGGATGGCAGTATCCAAAGATCAGTGTACCGAAAAGAAACATGGACCGGCCAGTATCTAAACTTTTACAGTTTTGTACCTATTCAGTACAAACGTGGCGTAGTGAGAAGCTTGTTCAACCGGGCCATAAAGATTTGCACAGAAGACACACTGGCTGCAGAAATTAAAACTCTCAATTCAACTTTACTACTCAATGGGTACCACATAGGTTTCATCAAACGTCATTGCACCCTACCCAACCCTACCCCGAACGAAATTACAGTATCCAAACTACGAGTATATATCCAACTTACTTATCGAGGTGATGACGTCATGCAGCGTATGCAGGACCGACTGAAAACAGCAGTTGGCCAAACATTCTTTGCGGCTGTTCCAGTACAAGACCACTCCTATCCCAACCCCACCTATTAAACAGTCCCTTTCTCCGTACACCAAATCTAATTGTATTTACCAATTTACATGTGAGTGCCAGGTGACTTACATCGGTCGAACGGAGAGACAGCTTGGAAATAGAGTGGCAGAGCACATACCCAAATGGCTACATACACAGATCAGTGATCCTTCTAGGGTGTCGAGACCAGTCAAGAGGAAAGTACCTGCTTCTTCCATAGAACGTCATCTACTTAATTCCGGACACATAATTGACACAGACAGTGCTTTCCGTGTGGTTTACCACACTCCGAACAGGAGACTTTTGAGAATCGCCGAAGCCTTAACAATAAAAATCAACAACCCCCTCCATTGTGAGCAGACGGAATTTATCGTTACCCTGGTTAGTCACGTGACTACTGTGAGCTTCCGGCGGCCATGAAACAGAGACAATGTATCGAAGAAACTATTCGCATTTCAGGTGAATGTTTTCAGTTTTGTGCTTTATTTTATGTTGATGTAACTCTGTAGTAACGCACTTGATAAGATACAGCCAAATATTACTGGCAATAAATTGTGCAATGTATTGTTTGTATCCGCATTATTTAAATTTATTACGGGAAAACATTGTTTTGATTATTTTTGTTGTTGTTGTTGTTTTTGTTTTAGTGAAAGATTTCAATTAGTCATCGACCATATGGATCTCAACAGTACGTACGCTCCACCAATCAACAATGCCTGCGTGCCAGACATCTACAACCGACTGGACGCTGACGTCATCGAGAGGACTTACTGTCCTCTTAAAAGCACGTTATTAAAAACCCGTACCATCAGGGTCAATCTCAGATACTCTGCCAAATCCACAACCCGCACCATCAGGGTCAATTTCAGACACCCGGCCACTTCACAACCCGTACCAACAGGGTAAATCTCAGATACCCGGCTACTCCACAACCCGTACCAACAGGGTAAATCTCAGATACTCTGCCAACTCCACAACCCGCACCATCAGGGCCAATTTCAGACACCCGGCCACTTCACAACCGTACCAACAGGGTAAATCTCAGATACCCTGCTACTCCACAACCCGTACCACCAGGGTAAATCTCAGATACCCGGCTACTCCACAACCCGTACCAACAGGGTAAATCTAAGATACCCGGCCAACTTCAGATAAGTTATAATTAGGACACCAGTAACGGCTACACCACAGCATGCACGGGTACGGGCTCATCTCATACATTCAGTACAGCCCGCCATCCGGTCATCGTGCTTAATTGTAGCAGTCTCTTCTGTTGCCTTCTGTCAGTCACGGGCCGTCTTATAGAGATTAGTTGCAACGGACATCACAGCACTTTTGGCATTGCCATATGCCCTCCGTCCCCATCATCAGCAGCCAGCGAAGAGTTCCAATACTAATGGTGCCGGTTGTGGTCTCGTTGTATGTCCATCTTGCCTTCACTCCGAGCGTAGTGTGCCGGCCGAACCCTCTTGTCACACCCAGGTGCATCATTCTCTCCAGCCCATAATAATTTAGTTTCTCGTCTGACTTCGTTACTTGTTCCCAAAGGGCTCTGACCACATCTGCCTTGTCATGTATCAATTCATCACCCACCGGTGCAGATCCAGCCAATCCGTCTGCCTGTTCATTCCCCACCACGCCGGTATCGTCTGGAGAAAAGATCTAAAGAATGCTCACTGCCCGTGACCTTGCTAGTAAAGCTTGCCACTCTGCTTGAAGTAATACTGTCTTCACTTTTTGTGCAAGCTTTCAGAGTCCGTTATGTCTGACAGACTGCTATTGGTTCAACTTTTGTTGTTTCCACATTTATATCACTGACTACCTCTTGTTCACCAGCTTTCCACGTGTCGGCTCCGAGGCTGCCTTTTGGAAAACATTGAATAGACTTACTGCCGCCAAAAAAGCATGTCGTACATGAAGACCGTTTTAGGGTGTTTCCGTCGAATTCGCAGTGCATCTGCCTGAGAGACAACGACCCAACAGTCTGCATGCAAATGAGTCAAGCATGTGAAACGGATGTACACACAAAACTCAAGTTCTGGATCCAGGAGTGGACGAACACAACTTTCTGCCGGAGTTTAGAGCCGGTGCAAGCTAAATAGATAAGAAAAAAAAAGAAACTAATCTAATTTACAGTTTAAAAATGTAATATGATTTTTATCGGTCAAAATTTTTATTTTCTGCTTTTTTTCCCCAAATGTCTTGATCTATCATTTCATTCAGTCTTCATTGAACCACTGTATAATATTGTTTTTTTGTTTCAGTTAAATACAATCCATTCTTCTATATAACCCTCCACTTCTCTGGTTTTTCACAATATAATGGAGTATAGGTATATATATTTTTTGTATTAACATTTTCTGTGGTAATCGTTTTTGCCGTAAGCACAAGCAACTCCTTCAGTTCTCTTCTTTATTCAGCTCATCGTTACATCGTAGCCACTACCCAAGCGGGGAAACCGTCATTGTGTAGCGTCTAGACCCTCGCCTACGGATCTAAAGGGTTTAGCTTCAAATCCGAACGGGGGTGGAAGGGGTGGGGTGGGAGGGGGTGTTTCTTTCTTCAGAATGACTGGCTCCGAGGACGACCCTGTCTTGAGTGGGTATCGGGTAAAGTCCTGGAATGTAAAGGGGGGCCGGCGTGATGCTGATCACATTACCCACCGGGTGCTGATTGATCTATAAACTACAATACGCATGAAAGTGGGGGAAAACGGACATGTACTTAACTACATCACTCAAGCAAACTTGACATTATCGTGGCCCTTAATGTCATGTTTGATCCATTGCTATCTTCTAAAGGCAGGACGCCGAGCGGTTTCTAATGGTGGAGAAATCTCGCGTAGCCCGGGAACTTGTTCGCATCACCCAGAGACTACCCACTGTGGTCAGCCTGCAAGCTTTTGACCAGTCAGTCAAGCAATCAGAGCATGTGCACCAGGTCCGGTAACTACTTAATTTTACACTACTGTATTTATGTCGTCCTTACATATAGGCATGAGTGCATGCTGAAATCACGAGATCCCATATCTGAATGGATGTCCATCAGGGCATATCCCAGATATTCCGTTCAACCTTCCAACAAAGTTAGACCTGGGGCATCCGTACCTGGCCACGCCTGCCTGGTTTAACTTGCAGTCCTAGGCCTGTAATGACGTGATTCTATTGTCGACTCGTTCGCACAGCACTATTGACACTCGTCTGGTGTAGCCCTGACTGGTGCCCTTATGGTGACTTCGTTGGGGGTTGAACGTGCTATCCAGTATCCACCTTGTTGGTCTATCATCCAGACTGGGATTTGTTTTTAAACCCAGGGTGATAAACCTGTAGGTAGCAGCTCTGAAGGGACAAACCAACCGATCGATAGATTGATAAAGTCTGTTTCTCATAGCAATATTTCCCGTAATGAATTCGAACATAGACACAAACAATAGACTGCACATTTTATTGCTTTGCATATTTCAGGTGCATACTACGGTAACAGTTGATTAAAATGAAGCAAATAAATGAAAGCTTCAAACTGAAACACAGAATCGACCTTCACCTTGCGTTTACCCTGGTAAAACAGTTTTGAATGTAGTCAATTTTATGTTTCGTTTCGAAGGATTCATTTATTTGCTTCATTTTGATCAATTGTTACCGTAGTAAGCACCTGACGAGTTACAGCGAAATATGCCAGGCAATAAATTGTGCAATCTATTGTTTGTGTCTTCTTTGTTCAGAGTCTGTTGGTGCTTGTGACCACGTCCGACTTTAGCTATGAATAGTCCATACAGCTCAACGGGGATTCCTGTTCTTGTGCAAGTGGAGAGGCCGCTCTGTGTTCACAGTTTTTATCGAGGAGATGTATACACAAATTAAACTACAGTGCTTAAATGTCACGTGATTAGCTGTAAGGTCTATACATAGAGTCACCCACTTAGAGAGTTTGTATTCTTGAAACGCGGAGAAAGAGGGTCTGGTCGCTGATGATTTCCACAGCTATTACTCATGACCATGAAAGAAGTAGAGCATCAGTATAGCACACACACGTTATGAACAACTCACAAGTGTTCTGTGAAATATTATCATGCCAACATCAAGTTACAGGACACACAGACAATATTCACTGCAACCTACCACAAAGAAAGCACATTCAGGTAGGCAGCATCCAATATCTTCATTATAGTCTAATATGAAGAAACCACCATTATGAATAATAAAATAAATGACAATCGCCTGCATGACCAAGTTATAGCCAGATTCCATCATTTAATTGACGTTTGTGCCACTTCCGGTTGTCTGATACTACTTCCGGCTGTCTGCTTTTACTGTCTTTAAATATATTTACACCTCTACACCCCAAGGTAGAAGAGGAGCGACTAAGTAAGTAAGTAAGTATATATTCTAAGTATATATACTAAAACAAACAAACAAAACAAACAAATATATTCACACTGACGCCTGAAGCTGTACAAAAACAAAGAAGAGCGGACTGCGACATTCGCAGCAGCAGGTGGAGCCATTTCTCCCACCCCAAGAAATATTTAGAGGGAGAAGAAAAGAGACAAATTACATGCAGCCGGAATACAACATAAACCCACCCTGTCACGTGGTATGGGATTTTTCTTTCTCGGTCTTTTAAAGGAAGATCTCAACACCAGAAAGTATTTCTGTTGCATTAGTTACCAGTTCTTTAACAAACTTTACTTACGTTGCATTAGTTACCAGTTCTGTAACAAACTCTAATTATGTTGCATTAGTTACCAGTTCTGTAACAAACTCTACTTCTGCTGCATTAGTTACGAGTTCTGTAACAAACTCTACTTCTGCTGCATTAGCTACCAGTTCTGTAACAAACTCTACTTCTGCTGCATTAGCTACCAGTTCTGTAACAAACTCTACTTCTGCTGCATTAGCTACCAGTTCTGTAACAAACTCTACTTCTGCTGCATTAGTTACTAGTTCTATAGCAAACTCTACTTCTGCTGCATTAGATACCAGTTCTGTAACAAACTCTAATTATGTTGCATTAGTTACCAGTTCTGTAACAAACTCTACTTCTGCTGCATTAGTTACCAGTTCTGTAACAAACTCTACTTCTGTTGCATTAGTTACCAGTTCTGTAACAAACTCTAATTATGTTGCAATAGTTACCAGTTCTGTAACAAACTCTACTTATGTTGCATTAGTTACCAGTTCTGTACAAACTCTACTTCTGCTGCATCAGTTGGAGTTCTTTAACAAACTCTACTTCTGCTGCATTAGTTACCAGTTCTGTAAGAAATTCCAGTAGATCAGTGTTTACAGCGTTTAACAGCCGATCCAATTGTAACACGTTTACTGCCCACAGTGACATTTAAAAAGTGCCAACCCATTTGAGTTGGTTTCAGTATGATAAAGATCAGAAATTTACATGCGATGCAGGTTGCATTGCGGCGTCCATGGCTTAGGCGTTGTGAGTCTGACTCATAATTCAAACATACCATGATCGAAACTCACTGCTGGCTGCCTGGATATTTGTCGTGGTATGGGACGTCGCAGGTCGACCCAGCCTGAAATGGGTACCTGGATGTATGTCCTGGGGAGGTAAAGACGGCCGGCGTAATGCTGACCACATTACCCACCCAGTGCCGATTGGTCTGTAAAAATATGGGTGCTCTTCCTATTTGCCCGATGCGCCTAAATACGCGAAAATGGGTCTATACTTACTTTTTTTTTTCAAACTTGTTACATTTTCCAAATCTGACCATTCTGAACTTGATAAATCATGAGAGTCAGTGAGCGAAAGAGTGAGTGAGTGTGTAAGTGATTAGGTGAGTGTATGTGTGTTATAATGAATATGATTTATATATTAAAATTAATTGTGAACAAGATCTCATTTTTTCAACAGCACAAGAGAAAGAGCTATATGGCAGCCAAAAACGACGACCTAGTTTGCCACCGTTGCTACGTCCACCATCTTCCATCAAAGAAACAGTTTTACAGATTCAGGACACACAAACCTCCACCTGCAGTTCTGGAGGCAAGGGAAAGCTACAGCATTACTGGCCACCAGCCCCAGCATGATCAGAAGATGGCAACGAAGTCCAGTACTTCAACTTCCCAGAACGGAGCAGCAAGTTTTAATTCTACTGATAAGAATAATTATGTTTCCAAGGATGTCAACGAGTTGTCTGCTCATGACCAATTGAGAAAACCTGTTGATAGGTTTATACCATCTGTTGATGCCTTCAAGTTTTTAGACAGGGACAAATGGGGCAGAGAGGTGGATCAGAACCTTGGCGATACGCCACGACTGATGCCAAACGAACTTTGGAAGAATTTTGTGAAAACAATGAGTAGTCAGTATTCAAAACAACTAGGTATTCCCACCAATACGTCAAGACAGCAACAAAGCAATGATGCCTTCTTCCGTGAAAAGTCAGGTGGCAGAAGACTGTCTGTTGTGTCTGGAAATAAAACACGAGAGAAAAGCGAGCAGTTCTCGGGCAACCTCCGGACGAGTAGCTCTCGAATGAACATTTACAGAAGACCTTCTGTTGCCAATGAAGTGCAACTAAATGAGATGTCCCATTCGCATGTCCATTCCACGGCGAGCGCGCAAGATACTAACAGTCATGTTAGTGCTTCCAGAAAGGCCACCATTATCCAAGACAAATTCATTTTCCAGATCTCTATCAAGTGGCCATCAGAAATCTTCGTCTGCCATCCCTAGATAAGTTGAGAATAGTTTAGCTAACAACTGACATCACAGCACTCGGGACAGTCTCATAGGTGCCTTGTACTAATCTTCAGCAGCCAGCGAAGTATTCCAATACTGATAGTACCTGTAGCAGTTTATGTGTCCACTTGACTTTTCTCCGGGTAGATATGGAAGATACTGAAACACTTGTATTCCTACAATTTCTACATGAAATGGGAGCTGTGTGCTCTCGAGGCTTGGAATGCGCCTCAAGTGCTGGAGGTCCCGAGTTCAGGCTCCGGTGAAGGCTGGGATTATTTCACGTAGCCTTCTAGTAAATTCCGCTGGTCTCTGGGTAATAAGACCGGACGCCCGTGTGTATTGTTGAGCAGGTAAACAACTCCTTTGGCAGTTAGAGATCGAAAAGTGTAGCCAAACGACGCTGCCCGGGCAACATTTTTTAAAAGTATTTCGGGATCCCCGCCGGTGCTACGGAATTCATGTGCGCTGAGATTCTTTGGCCTCAGGCTTGAGTTAGAAGTAGAACAGAGCACTTATGGGTTACAACCCTTGTACCGTGATATTAATCTGTGGTTAAGCCTAAACGTACATCAAACATAGGAGGGGTGGTCAAAAAGTAAGGCCTTCTAATTTTTGAGCCCGTTTACAAAATGGATGCGATATTTTCGCCTCAGCTCGACACATCCGACTTCTACATGCATTTGTTGACCGGGGAAGCCTTCCCGATTAGTTATGTGGGACTTTGCAGTCTAATTATTGTGTGGTTCTATCTTTTCCCTCTCAGGTCACAGGTGGTGATTATCTAACCCCTGTCCCGTTTTTAGCCACCCCAAATACGGCCGCTTAAGTCATGGAGTAACCGCTGTTTTTTTTTTTAATTATGCAAGCTAATTCCTGTCGTTAATTATTGCCAGGATATGAAATGCTTAATTGGTTTCCAAACTGGCAATCCATCACCGGCTGCTCTTAACTTGGTATATGCCTTTATCATGCCTGATAATTAACTCCGTGACGAGCCAAGAGAGATTTTCTCCGCCAAGAAACATTAGCCGGTGTTCGACATAAACTGTAATTAGTCTAGCGCAGTGATGGGCCTATAACTTACTTTAGTATGACCTCTAAAGTAAGTCATAGATGGGTCTACTGGCGAGCACTCCTATGTTTCCTGATATTCTAGGACATGGTAAAATAACTATATACGCCCACATTATTGTATTATCATGCAATTTCTACACATTACGTATTCCTACGTCTGTTTACGTTACTATATGATTCTGTCACTGAATAATAATAATAGTAAACTCTGTTCAAACAAATGTATCGTCTTACTTTTGTTTTCTTTCATATCGATATTATCTAACACCTGTCGCCGGGCTCTCTAGCGTAGTTGGTTAAACCTAACATTGCGGTGACCGGGTGATGAAATCCTTGTGGTCCGGGTTCACTCCAGGGGGGTAGGCAGAAAAGCCACATTTCTCCCGATTTACGGTACCTATCATGGAATCAGGGCCGAAGGGTTGCTTGAACATGACCTACTTTAGATCTAAAGTAGGTAACGGCTTGAGCATGTAGCCAGTGAGTTAGAAGTGCCATGAATTGAAAATCACCCAGATATGACAGCATGTTCTTAATTTGTAACAGCAAGGTACCCTAATAAAACTGTTTTCTACAGTGGAACGGGCTTTCTTGTATTTCCTCCTGTTGGATTCCCATCCGAATAGGTGCTTTTTTAATCCTGGATCAAACTGTCAGTCTGCAATCGCAGAGGGGAGACGGTTAGAGTGATAAGAGCAGACATGTTTCTAACAGCAACAGTTGCGAAACGTGGACATTATACAGGAGTTGAGATTGACTAGACCGGAAATGGATTGGGTGGGGCGGGGGACGAAAGGATTAAGAGAGTATGGGGAGGGGGTTCGAGTGGAAGAAGATTAATAGAGTATGAAAAGGAGGGGGGTGTGGGAGGGGAGGCCGACCGAACAAGTAGGCCTGTCTTACATTCGACCCTTCTAATCATTCAAATTTCTCACAGTATTTTTTTAAAACTTAAATAAATAATGCATGATAAGTTCATATGCCAATATGTGAGTACTGACTACTTACAATAGAAGAGAAGCCATTTGGAGAGTGGAGAGTGCGGACCATTCGATCGCGGCGAGGCAAGTGCACATTTACACCCTTTAAGTTTTAGCAGAGGTTGTTGAGTTTTTTTAAATTGTTCCGGGGCAGTGTTCCCGAATTTGTAATCATAAATCTTTGCTTTTCGCTTTCACATAGATATTTCTGTCACACGGTTATATTTGACGTTTCTCTTTGTCTTCATAGTCGGCTCTGTGGCTAAGTCGATGCGAACGCTTCGTAATGCCGGGGTGCCGGGTTCGATCCCAGCTGCAGGCCATGCGCCTTGCGTTGGTTTCGACAGTGGTATCAGGGGGCCGACCGTCCAGGAGCAATGGAAAACTACTGGACGTAAATTTGCCTAGAGAAACCACACAACAGCCAGGGGCTGGTGGGGTTGGTTCTGCAACGTCCTGTAAAGGATACCCAACTAACCTTTGTCTTCATATGATTTATACTAACAATGAATTTTTCACCTGTTTCAATAATGTTTGAGAACGGTAACTCGCTCTAAAGTGCAATTGCTTGCATTCAATTCAATGTGAAAGTGAATATACAATTGTAGCCAAAATTTCAAAGTTTATTATTGAATTAAATTTCCTGCATAACAGATGTTATGAAGCCGTTCCGAACGAAATAATACAGATAACTTGAGACGTCAGTGAATGCATTTCATTGAGTTTATTGTCACATGTCGCTCAATACATACACAGCCGTCAGTACAGGGGACACTGATTAAACAAGCATATTAGATTTCTTCCTAGTCACTTGTACAAACAGATCATGAAATGTTTTGCGTGTAATCAAACATCCATTTTCAACGGAGCTATTGATCGGCAAGCCTTACGGGAAAGTACCAGACTGTGCGGAGTACAAAAATGTTTAATAACAAGGCAATATTGCAGGTAAAGAAAAGGGACCACCGTTGAGAAAGAAAGTTAACAAGAGACGATCCGTTAATTAATGCAGTAACTTCCCTTGATCTTGTGATAATTGCGTTAGATCGTAGCTTTGTGCATTTTTCCTGCTGGTGACACTTTCTAGGCGAACATAATTTCGCGACGCAGTAATTCAGACCACAAACAAACCACACATTACTATAGACGTACCATGGGACAATAAAGTCATTAGCTAATGTAAAACGAAAGTTAAAACATTGTAAATACGAAAGCATTTGCAATCAAACGCCTTATCACTGCGTTGTTTCGTGTACATTGAAGCCCCACCCTGGTTGGGCGGTGTTTATGAGATTTCCTGTACCTTTAAAAAAAAAAAATTAAAATCTCGACCACGTTCAACCTGTTGCTAGAAGCCGAAGTTCTGGGACTTGCGCCTGATGGATTCTTATCCGAATGGTAGTACCTTGCGTCGACGGGTGTTAATCGCTTGCTGGGTGGTCCTGGCTGGGTTGAACGTCAATCACTCACTCAGTAGCGCCAAAGAGTCGGCGGTACATGTAACAAACTCAAGCCCATTTCCGCCCATCTACGCACTTATGATAGACGGATTTCGGCCAGGACACTGTGATTGGACGTTCAGTCTGCGCCTCAGCCTGTGAGACGCGCAAGTGTAAGTGATAGGGACGTCAGCTTGGTCGACGCTCCTACCGCCGACTATGCGTGCTCTATATTACAGGATGTGAGCGCTTTTAACAACTGTACAACTGGCCCTAACCCCTCCCCTATACATTGAACCTAGGTCCCACGAGAGAGTGAAATCTACAACACTATACCGTGACACCCCTGTAACCTTCAGCCTGACCAAGCATGAATGAGAAGTGACCTAGTGTGTAGATAGGTGGAGCTGGGCCTGAGTTCGTCACTAGCTCCGAGTTGATGTGCTAATAATGCCCGTTGCAACTTATTGAAAGTCCGCCTAGGTTTTCCTCTGTGTTGAATATCTTCTAGAACCTCTACGCATCCCCTGCTGAATTAGAATGTCACGGTATGGATACTGTGTTTTGTTGCTCTGGCCACGTGATCCAAGACAGCTTCCCTCACGCCCACTTTATTATAAAGCAGCTTACCGCCCTGGGACGCAGTGTCGGTTAGTCTGTTTAACATCACGTGCGCGCGACAGGCCTTTCACGCCGCAACCGCACAAGAAGTTATGTGTCTGGACACGTTTCAGACAAGATGCGTTGTATCAGCAAGGTACCACTGTAATGGCAGTGCCCATACCTTCAATTTTCTATTGTAATGGAGAAGTGGCTGGGATTATGCAGTTGTCAGCTGATATTCTTTTGGGGCAGGGTTCGGATACAAATGTTTAAAGAAGCAAAAGTTAAAGGTAACGAGCGAGGGGACCAACTGGCAAGCAATGAGCGAATGCATACCAGAAGAAGCATGGAGGATAGCGCCAAAATCAACAACACTTTACCGACCAGGCTGATGGGAATGACGAATCTGACGCTAACAAGATTGTGTGACCCGGGAGTAAAGCCTGGTGAAGCAAGTCTATGCCGTCTTTGGGGTCAAGATAAGAGACATTATAACCAACTTCTCATGGGAACAATCAGTGGGGGTACTTTGGAGTAGTTGCTGCATCGAAGAACCGAGTAGGCACGGGGATCCTAAATCTGCACTGGCGTCGACTGTGATAACTTAAAACAGCTACCACACATTCTTGAGATGTGAGTGTGACTTAAGGTTGTAACAAGTCTTCATTGCCATAACAAGTCTTCATTGCCATAACAAGTCTTCATTGCCATAACAAGTCTCTATTGCCATAACAAGTCTTCATTGCCATAACAAGTCTTCATTGCCATAACAAGTCTTCATTGCCATAACAAGTCTTCATTGCCATAACAAGTCTTCATTGCCATAACAAGTCTTCATTGCCATAACAAGTCTTCATTGCCATAACAAGTCTTCATTGCCATAACAAGTCTTCATTGCCATAACAAGTCTTCATTGCCATAACAAGTCTTCATTGCCATAACAAGTCTTCATTGTCATAACAAGTCTTCATTGCCATAACAGTCTTCATTGCCATAACAAGTCTTCATTGCCATAACAAGTCTTCATTGCCATAACAAGTCTTCATTGCCATAACAAGTCTTCATTGCCATAACAAGTCTTCATTGCCATAACAAGTCTTCATTGCCATAACAAGTCTTCATTGCCATAACAAGTCTTCATTGCCATAACAAGTCTTCATTGCCATAACAAGTCTTCATTGCCATAACAAGTCTTCATTGCCATAACAAGTCTTCATTGCCATAACTCAATCGGCTGTCTTAACTCACTATCTCACATATTTATCGCCTGTCTTTAGTTAGTCACGTATCCTGTACAGGACATGGCAGAATCACCCCGAGCATTTGTTTGGCTATTGTGGTTTTTCTATGCAGATTTACGTGCAGTAGTTTGCCAGTGCTTACTGAACGGTCGGCTCGAGATACCACTGTGGAAACCAATGCAAGGCGGTCTGGTGCCAAATCGCTTGCAAGTGGGATCGAACTCGGCACTCCGGCATTACGAAATGCTGTTGCAGTGCCTAAGTCTCGACCTTTTGCAGATTCCCACACATTAAAGGTGTGAGTAATCCTTGGTTCCAAGGTCAAACACAGTTACTAGTGACTTTCGATCATGAACCAACGGTTGAACAAACTTTTATTTTCCAAGGGTTAAGAATAGGGCACGCATGCCTGTCCAACATTCTGCCCTTTTAGTCTCCCAACTGCCATGCATCATTTCATTCATACAATCAACTAATAGTCAACATTACCAACATCAGCTAAATCTATATAAATAAACATTTTAATGTTCCTCTGTTAGTAGTAGCTAATCTCTGAAAGTTCTTTACTGACTGATTTCACGTTTTGAAATAACGTTGCACTCGAATACACGCGAGTTTTTTAAAAAAAAAATAAGTATCGCACAAAGCACGAACTCCCATAGCTCCAGCGACGATCACATCTCGGTGTGGGTTTTTTTTGTTGTTGTTGTTGTTGCCGGCTTTTCCGGCGCGGGTCTTTAATTCTGCTGGTATTATTTCATTATTGGGATCATTGCAAACAGCGGTGGAATAGAATGGTGTCGATTGATCTGCGTTTGAATCATTCTGCATGAAGCTGTATGAGATAATTAATTATTTTTTCTATGGGCTCCACGAGTTGTTGAATGAATATATGGAAAATAACAGGTGAGTACTATCATCACTGCTTTTAGGACAATGTGTGGAATTGAGCAGTTGCTGCGTTCATTTCATTCGTTTCCAAACTTTGACTGCTGATATCAGAGATCTGATACCAGTAGTTGTTGTGGTTGGCCGGGTGGTTACAATGTCGGGCTGTCATGCAGGAGACCCGGGTTCGACCCTCAGTAAAGTGATAAGAGTTTTTTCTGTCGGGAGCACAATTAACATCCTAACCTGTCCATGGCGACAACACCAGCCATGCAGCTTCTCTGGCTCATAAACCACTCCTCCCCTATTTACACCGATCTAGACAGGTGGTAAAACAGGTAGTAGTGACAGTGTTTTATGTTGTTATAGTGCTGGTGGTCGTGTCAGTTGTAGTAGTGGTACTCGATGGGCGATGTGGTAAATATAACACTGACCTCATTTACTACTAATTACAATTCCTGCTACCCATTTTAGTCTGGGTGGACATGGATGCCAAGGTCAATTAAAAAATGTGTGTGATGAATTTCAAATCCTTCGGACAGGAAAGAGAGGAGTAATCGTTGGATTGGGAGGGGGTGGGGGAAGAGAGGGGTGATGACAGAAACCTTTAACTGAAAGAGCAAGAGCAATTCTCAACTGTAACCAAGTGCCTTGCTTACTGACCTAGGCAATCATGCTTCACCTCATTTTGTGATCTCCAGTCATCAACCAGCAGGTCCTTTACAGAATGACAATCTCGTCATGGCACAGCTGAAAGTCTCTCTTTCTCTAGCCAATTCTCCAGTCCTTCGTACTTTCATAGCAAATGCATCTTCAGTGTCTTGTATCCACCTTCGCAGAGGTCTGCCTCTACCTAGTATTCTGGAAACTATCATCCATCACCATTATCTCCATTCCACCGTGACCAATTCATGTGCAGACACTTTCCATGCAAAATAAAAAGCTACCAAGAGTCTTTGTAATGAGTCATTTTTCTCACCGTTGGTAAATTTTCTCATTTTTTTAGAAATAAAGGCAACTACTAAACATAAATTATGTGCGAGAACCCAGAGTGATGACATAGATTACTAATTATAATGTATAAGTAAGTGATGCTGCTCAAGGAAAACGTGCAGTTTGGTTGAAGTGTGCCAGATGAGATAAGAGTGAAATTGTGAGAACTTTTGAATACCCAGGTAACAAATGTACATACTATTGTTCTAGTATAGTTATTATCCTAGACATCAAACCTCTCGCCCATTGACCAAGGAACATCATTGGAGCAATAAACACAGTAGTTATCAGCTGTTCAGTGTTTATCAATGTTTGTTTGTATTTCAAGCTTGCTGTGTTGAGGTGTCTGTCAATGTACCTGAGCAGGCAGCATGACAAGAGCTCACAGTGTCATTGCAGTCATTTATCACTGTGCATTCAAGTCCTATACATTTCCTAATACTCACTTTAGAATGGGTCAACCTGGGAGCAAAAGTCAATTATAACCATTTTTTGGGGGAATGCGGATTCAAACTCAAACCTTTTGAGGAAGCAAACAAGCATCTGTCAAAACCATACTTATATACAAACTAAACCATCTAGAAAGAGGTTGTCTAAGAGGCTGTTTCATCTGTTGCTGTGTTTTCACAAAGCATACAAGTGAAAAATGCTAAATTATCTTAAAAAAAACACAGATAAATAAATACATGAAATATCATAAATGTGCATACATCTACAAATGGATGGACTTAAAGTGATGCCACTTCTTCAGTCACAGGCAGTCAGCCTAAACAATTATGATGCTTTCACTAACTGGCATGCTGACCACCCCGGTAATAATAGGTACAGCCCTTCCTGGTTTAATCACATAGACCTGAAAAAAACAAAATGGGGAAGGGGGTGGAGTAAGGGAGAATAAGTTCTCATACCAGAGTTTACTACAGATGAAGATTAATGATTCTCAAACTGCAGCATTTAGTACTACATCCATAATTATCAGCCGTGGAAACAAAGGATATCAATACACTACCAATAAACATGTACAAACAACTAAGCTTATTAAATATGTTGGCCAGAATTATTAAGCATTTTGCCCAGAGAAGCCAAAAACTGACACTTCCGGTTGGATCCAGTTTCCTGTAAATGTCACTTTTCCGACTTGCCTACTGTGACCTGTTTACAAGATGTATAGTTAAAACAAATGGCTGAGCTGACACCTGCGCAAAAGTCTAGGCGGTCATAATTTAAATAAATTAACAATAGCATTTAAAGAGGTTTTCCTATGTTCTAAAGAGCTATTTTAAAGCTGAGATGACATCACATTTTCTCACAAGCCTCAGTGGTAAAGGTCATGGGGTCATAGCATGAGTCGCCTGATCAGTGTGTATTTTCTAGGTCCATAGGATGTATTCCATTAAATGCTTCGCTCCGTTCATGTTTACTGATTAATCCTTTCATATATCTTTATATATAATTCAAAAATAATGTTAAAATGTCAATAAGTAGATTTTAAATTAATTTACTAGTGACCTGTGTAAAAAAAAAAATTTTTAAAGAGTTAAACAGTAGTGAAGCAGAACAGAAGAACAAGCAGGAGGAGGAGGAAGAAAAGGTGAAGGAAAATGGGGAGGTGAAGATGGAAAAGCAGAAAAAGCAGCAGGAGGAGGTAAAGGAAAAGGAGGTAAAGGGGACAAACAGAAGGAGCAAACAAGAAGAAGAACAAAAGGTGAATAGTAAAAGAAAATGCAGAAGCAGAGGGAGAAAGACAATAATTTCTAACTAAGGAGGGAGTTCCTTTCATCTATCTTACTTTCTTTCATGTCAAGCCAGACAGAAATTTTAAAAGAATTTAAAAAAAAAAAAGGAAAAAAAAAAAAGAAAAAACATATTCAAAAGGCTTAACTGAGTTTTGAGCTAAGAATTGATAACACAGCAATCAGAATATTCCCATAAGTTCTCCGTCCTCGTCTTCGGCAGCCAGAGAAAAAGTTCAAGTTTTGATGGTAGCAGAGTGTCAACCAAATCCCGTGGTCACTCATAACCATACTATTCTCTGGACACCAAAATGATTTATTTCTGCCTCTATATTGTTCACTTGCTTCCACCCAAAGAGTATTGACCACATTCAGCTTGTCATGGAGCATTGACCACATTCAGCTTGTCATGGAGTATTGACCACATTCAGCTTGTCATGGAGTATTGACCACATTCAGCTTGTCATGGAGTATTGACCACATTCAGCTTGTCATGGAGCATTGACCACATTCAGCTTGTCATGGAGTATTGACCACATTCAGCTTGTCATGGAGTATTGACCACATTCAGCTTGTCATGGAGTATTGACCACATTCAGCTTGTCATGGAGTATTGACCACATTCAGCTTGTCATGGAGTATTGACCACATTCAGCTTGTCATGGAGTATTGACCACATTCAGCTTGTCATGGAGCATTGACCACATTCAGCTTGTCATGGAGTATTGACCACATTCAGCTTGTCATGGAGTATTGACCACATTCAGCTTGTCATGGAGTATTGACCACATTCAGCTTGTCATGGAGTATTGACCACATTCAGCTTGTCATGGAGCATTGACCACATTCAGCTTGTCATGGAGCATTGACCACATTCAGCTTGTCATGGAGTATTGACCACATTCAGCTTGTCATGGAGTATTGACCACATTCAGCTTGTCATGGAGTATTGACCACATTCAGCTTGTCATGGAGTATTGACCCACATTCAGCTTGTCATGGAGCATTGACCACATTCAGCTTGTCATGGAGTATTGACCACATTCAGCTTGTCATGGAGTATTGACCACATTCAGCTTGTCATGGAGCATTGACCACATTCAGCTTGTCATGGAGCATTGACCACATTCAGCTTGTCATGGAGCATTGACCACATTCAGCTTGTCATGGAGTATTGACCACATTCAGCTTGTCATGGAGCATTGACCACATTCAGCTTGTCATGGAGCATTGACCACATTCAGCTTGTCATGGAGTATTGACCACATTCAGCTTGTCATGGAGCATTGACCACATTCAGCTTGTCATGGAGCATTGACCACATTCAGCTTGTCATGGAGCATTGACCACATTCAGCTTGTCATGGAGTATTGACCACATTCAGCTTGTCATGGAGCATTGACCACATTCAGCTTGTCATGGAGCATTGACCACATTCAGCTTGTCATGGAGTATTGACCACATTCAGCTTGTCATGGAGCATTGACCACATTCAGCTTGTCATGGAGCATTGACCACATTCAGCTTGTCATGGAGCATTGACCACATTCAGCTTGTCATGGAGCATTGACCACATTCAGCTTGTCATGGAGCATTGACCACATTCAGCTTGTCATGGAGCATTGACCACATTCAGCTTGTCATGGAGCATTGACAACATTCAGCTTGTCATGGATGAATTCACCATCCAGTGGTGCAGAATCAGCTAGTATGTTCATTTCATAATACACCTGCCTGCACATCCAAGAGAAAATATATGAAAAAGAACAAACAAAATACGCTAACTACATGGGACCTCTGAAGTGTTTCTTAAAAGACTTAACTGACAACAGCCTATGATAATGTAGTTAGTTACCTTCACACTGTCACTAACACCATTATTGTTGAGACAGTCCACGAATGAGTCAAAGTCATAGGTCAGGCCTGGAACTAGGATTGGCACCTGCAATTGATCAAGAAAATTTATAGATACATACAGGGCATGTGTGGAGACAGTCATGTGCTGCACACAAACTAAAATGGCATTTCTCAGACCGAGAAAATATTGACTTTAACTCGCTTGCATGTGCTGTGACATGGTTAAAGACTGATACTGGACTTTCACAATTGTGAAGAGGTATAGTGCAATTTAACTAGGTCACGATTCGGCATAAGACATTCTGGCCAGCTGGGTTGACTCCAATCATGCCCTTCCCCTAAGGTTTTCATTCTTCTTCTTCAACGTTTTGTCTTATAAGGGCTGTAGGCATATTATGTTGTGGATTCAGCAAAGCCCAACACATCTGATTTCAGCAAAGCCTAACACATCTGATTTCAGCAAAACCCAACACATCTGATTTCAGCAAAGCCCAAAACATCTGACTTTAGCAAAGCCTAACACATCTGATTTCAACAAAGCCCAACACATTTGATTTCCGCAAAGCCCAACACATCTGATTTCAGCAAAGCCCAACACATTTGATTTCAGCAAAGCTCAACACATCTGATTTCAGCAAAGCCCAACACATCTGATTTCAGCAAAGCCCAACACATCTGATTTCAGCAAAGCCCAACACATTTGATTTCAGCAAAGCCCAACACATCTTATTTCAGCAAAGCCTAACACACATGATTTCAGCAAAGCCCAGCACATCTGATTTCAGCAAAGCCCAACACATTTGATTTCAGCAAAGCCCAACACATCTGATTTCAGCAAAGCCCAACACATCTGATTTCAGCAAAGCCTAACACATCTGACTTTAGCAAAGCCCAACACATCTGACTTTAGTAAAGCCCAACACATCTGACTTTAGCAAAGCTCAACACATCTGACTTTAGCAAAGCCCAACACATCTGATTTCAGCAAAGCCCAACACATCTGACTTTAGCAAATCCTAACACATCTGATTTCAGCAAAGCCCAACACATCTGATTTCAGCAAAGCCCAACACATTTGATTTCAGCAAAGCCCAACACATCTGATTTCAGCAAAGCCCAACACATCTGATTTCAGCAAAGCCCAAAACATCTGACTTTAGCAAAGCCTAACACATCTGATTTCAACAAAGCCCAACACATTTGATTTCAGCAAAGCCCAACACATCTGATTTCAGCAAAGCCCAACACATTTGATTTCAGCAAAGCCCAACACATCTGATTTCAGCAAAGCCCAACACATTTGATTTCAGCAAAGCCCAACACATCTTATTTCAGCAAAGCCTAACACATATGATTTCAGCAAAGCCCAACACATCTGATTTCAGCAAAGCCCAACACATTTAATTTCAGCAAAGCCCAACACATCTGATTTCAGCAAAGCCTAACACATCTGACTTTAGCAAAGCCCAACACATCTGACTTTAGTAAAGCCCAACACATCTGACTTTAGCAAAGCCCAACACATCTGACTTTAGCAAAGCCCAACACATCTGATTTCAGCAAAGCCCAACACATCTGACTTTAGCAAAGCCTAACACATCTGATTTCAGCAAAGCCCAACACATCTGATTTCAGCAAAGCCCAACACATCTGATTTCAGCAAAGCCCAACACATCTGATTTCAGCAAAGCCCAACACATCTGATTTCAGCAAAGCCTAACACATCTGATTTCAGCAAAGCCCAACACATCTGATTTCAGCAAAGCCCAACACATCTGATTTCAGCAAAGCCTAACACATCTGATTTCAGCAAAGCCCAACACATCTGATTTCAGCAAAGCCCAACACATCTGATTTCAGCAAATCCACAAATTGATAATCTGTTAGGGCGTGCTTATTAGGAGGCAGTAGATGTTTCCTTCAAAATGGGACCCTGGAACCCACAAGAGAAACCCACAAGTTTTAAGTATGTCATTGTCAAGAGACACCAACATATGCCATTAGGATTTTTATTCAATCAAATAGTACATCAATTAAATCCAAATATTGTATGCATGATTGATACCAGACCTAATCTTCCTCCAATTCTTTATTTTTAGTTTTAACACTGGCATAGCCACAAACGCACCTGGATTAACTTCTTGCGGAAATGATACAGCTTGTCATCGTAATCGAATGTGATGAAGAGGCCAATGGAGGCTTGGCTGAGTGATGTGTTCTGAAGTTTGACTGTAAACTTGAAGGTCGGACCAACACCTTGAACCTAGGGATCAAGATAAAAAGGAACTGAATTTACTGACTTATATAAACGAAAATACACAGAGTTAAAATCAAATATTACTTCAACAAACACAGTCACAAACAACATATAAACTACAATACACAGAATAATAAACAAATATAAACCACAACACACAGAGTAATGAACAACATATAAATTACAACACACAGAGTAATAAACAACAAATAAACTAAAACACACAGAGTTAAAAAAACATAAATTACAACACGCAGATTAATAACATAAATTACAACAGAGTAAAAAACAACATATAAACTACAACACAGAGCAATAAACAACATATAAATTACAACACACAGATTAATAAACAATATAAAATTACAACACACACTGTTATAAACAACATATGAACTACAACACACAGAGTTATAAACAGTATATAAACTACATCACACAGTGGTATAAACAACCTATATACTACAACACACACAGTGTCACAAACATTTAAACTGCAACATACAGTGTTAAAAACAACATATAAACTACAATACACAGTGTCAAACAACATAAACTACAATATACAGTGTTATAAACAACATATAAACTACAACACACAGTGTTTTAAACAACATACAAACTACAACACACACAGTGTCACAAAAAACATTTAAACTCCAGCATACAGTGTTATATACAACATATGCTACCGACGGTCGGCTTATGGATCATGCTGATATTATCAATGCCCTCAGAGAAATGGGAAGGATAGAGGACTTTGGTGGCAGTGAATCCACATCACTCGCCAGAATGGCAGACTTGGGAATTAAGATCGGCACAGCAAAAAACGAGACGCACACCGGACACGTCAGAAAACTTGTTAATCAACATAGAACTGGTACTATTAGCCATCGGACGTTGGGGTTCATACTGAGGGGAGGATCTGAGCACCTATGGACATGTCCGGAGTGCAATGATGATAACCCAACTAACTAACTAACTTACTAACTAACTAAATACAACATATGACTTACAAAAGCATTCAGTTTGATAGGTTCCATTGGATCAGAAGATATAGGACTCAAACTGTTGTCCACAGCCTTGACATATTCTTTCATCACTCGCAGTCTCAGTCTGGCCAGGTCTCGCTGGAATGTTCTATGTATGGCTGTTAGTTGAAGATATTTCACAATAAACAAAATATCCTCTGACACACACAATGTCACTACTTTAGTTGGGAGAAATTAATTCTTTAGTGGGAGGATATTAGACTTCAAAACATTAACTTGTGAACACCCTTTAATCACCTTCAATCAACAGGTCCTTCACAAAATGTCACTCTCATTACAGCATGCCTTCAAGTCTCTCTTTCTCTAGCCAGTTCTCAGGCCCTATGTGCTTTCATAGCCAATACATCTTCAATGTCCTTAATCCACCTTTGCAGCGGTCTCCCCCTGCCTCATTTTCAATATACTGTACCCTCCACCGCAGTTCTCTTCAGGCCACCATGACATTTAGCACGGCCAAAATGCCTCGGGACAGGGTGCTGTTTATGAGCCAATTCTTCTCGATGCTTAGATCATGTAAATTCAATAAGTTATTATTTATAGGTGCATTAAATTGCGCCAAGGTTGAACAGTAGCATAGCCAGCATATCTATATGTTGGTCTGGTGGTGCTAGTTCCGAATCTCCAGTTAAGTATATTTGGAAAGTGACATGGGTTCCCGGGTTGATCCAGAACATGTACTGGGTAGTGAAGGCAACCAACACAATATTAACCATAGATTAGCCCACTGATTGCTGACTGGTCTACAAAAATATGACGCTAGCACCCTACAAAACATGTCAAAGCAAGAAAGAACAAATACATTAGAGTGTATTTCCCTTACAGCAGAGGTTCCCAGTTAGATAAGCCAGTGAACCCCCCTTCTAATTTTCAAACATCTATCATGGATCTCATAGATTTAATAGTCATGTTAAAAATTGAAAAAAAAAAAAATTATCTACATTCGAATTGTAAAAACAAAAAAGGGTTAAGGTTTTGTTTGAAATGATATCACAGACACCTTAAATATGTTCCACAGATCCCCAGGGGTCCATGTACCACTAATTGGGACTCACTGCTCTAGACCAGTGGCTCTCAACCTTCCTAATACTGCGACCCTTTATTACAGTTTCCTCATGTTGTGGTGACCCAAAAACAATTATTTTCCTTCATAACTTGTTTGAATATGTGTTTTCCGATGATCTAAGGTGACTCATGAAAAGGCCGTTCGACCCAAAAAAGGGTCGCAAACTGCAGGTTGAGAACGGCTTGTCTAGAGGACTCGGCAAACCAACCCCAGCATCTCTTGGCTGTTTGTGGTTTCACTAGACAATTTGACATTCAGTAGTTTGTCACAGCTCTCTGAATGGTTGGCTCTTGATACCATTTTTGAAATCAATTCAACATGGTCTGCTGTTAAATCATCCCAGATGGAACTGAACCAGGTATCCCAGAATCACAAATCATGTTCACAACCCCTATAACACAGACGGAGATAAACAGAAAAAGGTTTTTAAAAAAATGTGTTTTAACTTAGGAGATATTTCTTTTACTGATATGAGAGTGCTTCAAAATGAACATCAAAGGGACTACAAGTTCTTCCTCCTCTTCCGTGTTTACCTTATCACTTTGCTGACCAGCATTCCGGTGCATCCCTGTCTTCCATTACCGAGCGTTTTTGCAGATATATTTCAAAATAACTGGCTTTTTAATCAAATTCGTTATAAATTTAAAAAATGAGTAAGCTTTTGAAACCTTTAGAACACCATTATGAATGGTTGCTGCACATGAAAGGAAAAAAAGATATATTATGCAAATATGGCATGATCATGGTGGCCATCTTAAATATGTTTGGTTATTTATAGAAATTTCAGGATATTTTTTTTTAAATCAACAACATTTTCCAGTTTTGAGCCGGTTTACAACACACTCCCATACTAACCTGAAGGCCTATGAATGCCTAAATGTCAACTGCCTCAGTATGATCCCAAGTGAGCTTTCATTGCCACATTTGCTGGCAAAGTCAGAATCATCTATACTACGAGTCAGGTTTTTGTCATCAGACTTGATAAAAAGGCTTATTATGACTTGTAACAAAAATTAACAAAATTTTGCTGAAAACAATGCTTGTAACAGCTCTAAATAATACTAATCCTAGGTGCAGCAATCTTTGAATAATACAAATACCCAGATGAAACTTCATTCAAATACTATGAGTAAGGTCATCTATTTGCATTCTAGATGTCGTTAGTTCGATGATAGTCACATTTGGTAACCAAGGAACAGACCAGAAATTTGACGATCATCAAATTTGGTCAGCAAAGTGTTAAAGGGGTGGTTGGCACATTATTTTGTGGTTTACAGACAAGCTATGATATCTGTGCCTTTTGACCCTGCACGTCAGATTTCAGCAAATCCGTAATTAGTTGTCTTTTATGAGATGGCCCTATATGCCTAAAATGCAAATAGGCGTGGAAAAGAGTCCTTTTCTTTATTTTATTTTCAACACATGTTTGCTAAGGGACAGTGGGTATGTTTTTTTCTCTCGCTTATCCCCTGGTAAAACACACAGGCCATAGATCCGAGACAACAAAGGAACAAAATATACAGAAACATAAGTTTCAAGTCACATACCTACAGCATGCTCCCGTTCCCTCTGTGTCTGATCCACAAACAATTTGGTTTTCTTTGGCACATTTAGCTTGACACTTTGTGCTTTGGGAGGCCCAGCAGAAATGTCTTTCTCATCAAAATTTGCAGTTCTCTTCAAGATTTTCACATAAAGCCCTCCACCTGTAAAGACAAATTATATTTCCACCAAAGTTTCCACACAGATATGACACGCAAGTACAGGTAAGTGATCTATTGGTGATGACCTATAAGTGATGTCCTAGGATTCATAAATGATGAGTTATGGGACATAGGTGATGACCTCTGATCTCTGGGTGATGATCTCTGACATCTAGGTGATGGCCTATGACCTCTAAGTAATGAACTATCATTTCTGGGTGACGATCTGTGATCACATTAATGACCTGTGACCTCTAGTGATGACATATGACCTGTAGGTGATACCTTGGGATCCCTAACTGATGATCTGTGATCCCAAGGTCAGATTACCTGCGGTCTCTAGTTCAGACAGTTAAATATTGACTTGTGATCCACAGATGATGACCTTTCATCTCTAGATGATGACCTATGATCGCTGGGTGATGACCTGTGGCCTCTAGGTGATGACTTATCATCTACAGACAATGACCTATTTTTTTAGGTGATGACCTATCATCTCCAGGTGATAACCTATGATCTCTGGGTGATGACCTGTGACCTCTAGGTGATTACCTATTACCTACAGACAATGACCTATTATTTCTAGGTGATTACCAACATGCTCTACACGTGACCAGTTTAAACTGAGGACTTACATTTTGCAGACATCACCAGTGTGCCATCCTCTCTACCAAACTTGCCAAAGCACATGCCCGTAATGACATCGTCCATCTTGATCACATCCACAAGAAACTTCTCCTTGTAGATATGGACTTCCTTGTTGCTAAGAGCAACGAGAACTGCTGTAAAACTTTTGGGCTTATAATCAATGACTTCCAGTGTAGTGATGCTCGCTGGCAGGCGGACCGTCCACAGTCTTTTACCCTGACGATTACAATTTATGTGTTTAATTAACTTGTCTTTTTCAACACTGAAAATACAGTTAAGCCTTATTTATTAAATCTGTTACCATGACAAAGATTTTGGAAATTCTGATCATTAGTTGTGTTTTCAAGCCTAACAAATATTTTGAAAACTACAAGCTGACTTTACCTGACAAGTTCAAAATGCTTTAACTCTTTGAGGCCCACACGACGGTGTGAGCGTTGTTTGAGAGGGTTCCGTTTTGCCCAAACAAAGGTGTCATCGTCACTTATGAGTCCCTTAAATTTTGCTTCGCACGCGGCTTCGTACTAGTTTCTAATGTTTGGAGGTACGATTTAACTTTTCAGGGAAAGTCACTCTGCCGAAATCCTTTTAGTTTCATTTCCTGGACTAAACCACACTAAGATAATTTAAGAGAAAACACAGAAAATTTTTTTTTCAGCAGTTTATTTTCTAAGTTCGTTTTTGAGTGCCAAAAATACCAATGTTCCAACTACAAGTACAGGTCGCAGAATGAGTCTTTTCTGCTGCCGAAGCTCTGAAATTGTTTCAGTTAGATGTTCTTAATTGTGATAATGATAATAAACATTTAGATTTTTCGGAAAGTGATTTGGACGGTGAATTTTCACCAGTGAAGCTGAGCGATCAGCTGTTCGGAATCTAGTGATTCTGATGAGTTAATTACACAGACAATGTCCCATACTACCGTATTTATGATGTAAGAGAAGGAAAGTGCTCTAAACAAAGAGACAGTACTATACTATGGCTAAGCTACACTAAAATCATCGCGGCTACAGTCTGTAAATAACTGTACAAAGTAAATAGTAAATAGTGTGTGTGTAATGGCTAATTTTTCTGCCATTTTTTCTCTGAAATTTTGCTCAGCACTCTGTGAGAACTAAGAGCTCCAGAGTGCTAAACTTACCCAGAAAGTTATTATAACTTTGGAATATGTTAGGAAATTGAACAAACTTTGAAGTTTTGTTCTCAAGTTTGGATATTCGCTACTCTTGTGGCTGCAACACCATGGTAAGTGAAGAATTTTTTTTGGTTAAATGTTGTCCTTGTGAAATTAACACCTGCTGAATTCTTCTTTCACACTAACTATAACAAAATTAAACAAACACTTATCATCGGATTCAAAATGTACATTCATTTCTCTTTTAAAAGATATACACTTTTTATAGGGATTAGAAGTATATTACAATCTCTACAGCCTTTCTTGTGCACCCTCCCCTCTGCCATTTTTGTAAAGAGAAATTAATTTGGGCCAAGTCTGTCAAAATTCATGGGCATTAAAGAGTTGAGCGGCAGGTAAAAGCCTAACCCATAGTTTTGAGCTAAATATTTTTTTACATCAGGCTGTAAGTTGCTGTGCCAACAGTACATTCTTCTAATATGAAAATCCACACAGATGCCAACAAACAGTAGACCAAAGCAAGCAAAGATGTACAGACCAGGTGGGAAGCAAAGCAGAGGCCAACCATGCAAATGGTGGGTAGAGGAAACAAAAGAGTTCCTGGGAATCCTTATTTATGAAGCACAAAAACTGACACTTTCTCATAAATTATACTTCACCTCGACAACGCAATGAATGAAAGGATCAAGATGAGAATGAGATGAGATGACACATACACACATGCACACGCATGCTCACACACACATACATGTACCACTTTCTGTAATAGTTTCTCTTATAAACATGGTGTAGGCACATGCTATACTAGACCAATAAATATATGTCAGGGATGTGACGGTTTCAAAAGTAGGTCAGGAGACTTCAAGATTATTTGACAAATCAAAATTTAAAAGATAAACTGTCATCCACAACCACAAATTAACAACCAGAAGAAACAATGAACTATCATCTATATCCCAAGTCTAGATAGCGCTGTCAGATCTCTGTGTGTGGCAATAGCTTCAGATGACCTGTTATCTTCTACAAACCAGTCTGTCTAGCTTATATCGCAGTATAAAGTGTCATCCATACAGTGGCAAGGCGGGATCAATTTTCAGGTCCAAGTGTTAGTAGGTAACGACTACACTGGAAAGGGTATCAAGTGATATTGCAACCTAAGACTGGGGGGGGGTGTTGCCCCTCACACCTTGGATTATAGCAATGTAAAATGTCATCCATACAACCTAAGATGGGAGGTGTGGCACTTCACACCTTCACTGTGTAGCAATGTAAAGTATCATCCATACAACCTAAGACTGGCAGCTGTGGCACTTCATTCCTTGGATGTTTATCAATGTAAAGTGCCACTCATGCAACCAAAAGAATGGAAGTGATAACCTTCGATATTTAGCTGTGCAAAGTGTCATCTTTGTAACGTGAGAAGATAGGTTTTGCCCTACATACCTTGGATGTATAGCAATGTAAAGTGTCATCCATGCAACCAACATAAATGTTTTTGTTGATTCTCTCCATCCCGACAGGTTGTGAGTTGAGCTCTATCATGTTTTTTGCAACATCTTTGCTGCCTCTAGGAATAACAGAAATTAATTATTAAAAACCATTAATCTTTCAGTTATATATTTAACTAGAACAGGACTAGAGTCCAGAAGTGGATGAACAACCATAACTTTCTGCCAGAGTTTAAAGCTGGTGAATGCAAAGAAGAAGAAAAATATCTTTAACATATTGATTATTTTAGAAAATTAACCATTAGTTGTTGTTTCTGAAAATTTTTTGTAAGCAGACTGGTGGTCCACAAGAGGAAGATGAGAATCTAGCATAAGCAAATCAAAGAAACCCCATTCAACCATCTGACAAAGTTACATAAGGGCACCTCTATGGTTACTAAGTAACCTGCAGTCCAATGCAGGTGAGTCTAACAAAACAAATCAGAATTTCACCTTTTCAAAGTGTAGACACGTCCATTTCTGCAGGCAACCACGATACGATAGTCAACATCAAACAGACCAGTGACACTGATAAACACTGGAACACTTGGCAGCTCCATCTGTTGATATAATCACAAGATGAAATGTCAATGAAGAAAACCAAGAACCGAGGAAGAAATCAAACAGATAACCAGCTTTTTAGACAGGACTGTCATTCATCTACCTAACAAACTCAGAAAGGCATACTGATAAAGGTGGAGAAAGGTATGCTCCGTTTAGAGTGGCAAGCATTACTTCAGAGGCCCTCGTAGTAGGAAACCTTTGGATCTTTTCTCAGGGCAAGCAGGTGTGTTGGGAAAGAAATGCACTGAGTACGATGCACAGTGAGTGCCCAATGGTCTATACAAATAAGAGTCTAGCACCATATGTCCAAAGAACCACTGATGTAAAAAAAAAAAAGGTCCCTTACTTTTACTTACTTTTACAACAGTTTAGATTCTAACAGCACATTAACACTTTTACTTACTTTTACAACAGTATAGGTTCTAACAGAACATTAACACTTTTACTTACTTTTACAACAGTATAGGCTCTAACAGCACATTAACACTTTTACTTACTTTTACAACAATATAGGTTCTAACAGAACATTAACACTTTTTTTTACTTTTACAACAGTATAGGCTCTAACAGCACATTAACACTTTTACTTACTTATACAACAGTTTAGATTCTAACAGCACATTAACACTTTTACTTACTTATACAACAGTTTAGATTCTAACAGCACATTAACACTTTTACTTACTTATACAACAGTTTAGATTCTAACAGCACATTAACACTTTTACTTACTTATACAACAGTTTAGATTCTAACAGCACATTAACACTTTTACTTACTTATACAACAGTTTAGATTCTAACAGCACATTAACACTTTTACTTACTTATACAACAATATAGGTTCTAACAGCACATTAACACTTTTACTTACTTATACAACAATATAGGTTCTAACAGCACATTAACACTTTTACTTACTTATACAACAATATAGGTTCTAACAGCACATTAACACTTTTACTTACTTTTACAACAGTATAGGCTCTAACAGCACATTAACACTTTTACTTACTTATACAACAGTTTAGATTCTAACAGCACATTAACACTTTTACTTACTTATACAACAATATAGGTTCTAACAGCACATTAACACTTTTACTTACTTATACAACAATATAGGTTCTAACAGCACATTAACACTTTTACTTACTTTTACAACAGTATAGGTTCTAACAGCACATTAACACTTTTACTTACTTTTACAACAGTATAGCTTCTAACAGCACATTAACACTTTTACTTACTTTTACAACAGTGTAGGTTCTAACAGCACATTAACACTTTTACTTACTTTTACAACAGTATAGGTTCTAACAGAACATTAACACTTTTACTTACTTTTACGACAGTATAGGTTCTAACAGCACATTAACACTTTTACTTACTTTTACAACAGTATAGGTTCTAACAGCACATTACCACTTTTACTTACTTTTACAACAGTGTAGGTTCTAACAGCACATTACCACTTTTACTTACTTTTACAACAGTGTAGGTTCTAACAGCACATTAACACTTTTACTTACTTTTACAACAGTATAGGTTCTAACAGCACATTAACACTTTTACTTACTTTTACAACAGTGTAGGTTCTAACAGCACATTAACACTTTTACTTACTTTTACAACAGTGTAGGTTCTAACAGCACATTAACACTTTTACTTACTTTTACAACAGTATAGGTTCTAACAGCACATTAACACTTTTACTTACTTTTACAACAGTATAGGTTCAAACAGAATATTAACACTTTTACTTACTTTTACAACAGTATAGGTTCAAACAGAATATTAACACTTTTACTTACTTTTACAACAGTATAGGTTCAAACAGCACATTAACACTTTTACTTACTTTTACAACAGTGTAGGTTCTAACAGCACATTAACACTTTTACTTACTTTTACAACAGTATAGGTTCTAACAGCACATTAACACTTTTACTTACTTTTAAAACAGTATAGGTTCTAACAGCACATTAACACTTTTACTTACTTTTACAACAGTGTAGGTTCTAACAGCACATTAACACTTTTACTTACTTTTACAACAGTGTAGGTTCTAACAGCACATTAACACTTTTACTTACTTTTACAACAGTTTGGGACTGAGCCTCGAGAGGCAGGGGGTAAGAAGTGTTGGTGTTGTGGGTAGTGGGTTCCCCCCCTTACTTCACCCTAGGTCTAGTGAATATCTGTTCACGAAAGGAGCGTCCATTGTGGTGTCAGCCTCTTGACCTAGCAAAACCTCTCTTACCTCAAGACCATTGTGCGTGGCGAAGAGTCACAGCCTCCCCGAGGTAGTCCCGGTAACTGGGGGTGCGAATCCCCAGGCAAAACACAATGGATCTAGAGGAGCAAACCTCGATAATAAACCCGGTGCACCACACCGTACTGCCCCCTGTGGGAGGGAAGGAGCCAGAGGTGTGCTGAACAGTCTTAGGAATGGAAACAAGTATGCTAACCCCCCTGAATACCGGAAACTATCGTGAAGGCACAGGGACTCAGGACGTGACGATCCAGTTGCCCCAACTACTCATGCTTAGGCCATGCTTAGAGACATGAAGAGCTCAGCGAAACCTGCAGGCAATCTGGTGGCGGGGAATGAGCACACTGTGAGCCCCACCTTAGCTACGTGTAAAAGGGAAAGGCAGAAACACAACCCATATTTCCTTTAGAACTGGTACAGGGCATTTCTAGCTGCTGCCCGGGGAGGTAGGTAATCCACAGACACCCCAGCACCACAATGCCATGAATATGTCAAAATTTAAGAATACATACGAGATCGGTCGTCGCCTCGTCTATCAAGGCCCGCGCCAGACAGTGGGAAACCAGGCTGTCATGTGCGAAAAATTGGCTACTGGAAAATTTGAAATAAATAGGGAAAACAGACACCCCAGGAGGAGGAAAGAGTGGGAGGGAGAGCAAAAAGAACTCAGACAGCACAGCAAAAAATACACAGATGCTCAATATTCTGCAGCTGAACATCTGTGGAATAAGAAATAAGAAACTTGAACTTGCCAAACTGCTAAACAACCACAGGGTACACGTGGCTGCCCTACAAGAAACCCTGCATAAAGACTCTGATCTGCATCTCACTGGATATACTAGTTATGCCTGTAAGTGCAATGACTGCCGGGGCATAGTGACCTATATCAGAAATGACATACAAGGAGATGTAACAATGCTGTCGACATCTCACCCTACAGATGTGCAAAAAATAACTATCTGGCACAATGGAAGCAAATACACGATATACAACGTGTACAGCCCACCTCAGACAACATGCAACATACCAGAACTATACAAGACACAGTACCATAAAACCCTTCTTGTTGGTGACTTCAACGGACACTCGCCACGTTGGGGTTACCCTGACTACAATAGCACAGGGAAGTACATCGAAGATACTTGTGAAACAACTAACCTATTAGTGCTGCAGGACACAGAGTCTACACCTACACTGTTACACAGGGCCCACCTATCTCTCAGCAGACCAGACCTGACCATCTGCTCATCCGACTTAGCAGACGCAAGCTATCCCCAAGTCCTGGACGACATAGGAAGTGACCACAAACCTATACTCACAACTGTAAGCACCACCCCTAAATTACGCTTCAAGCAGAGAACCCGTTGGAATTTCCGAAAAGCAAACTGGAAACTATTTCAGGAAACATCTGACTGCCTCCTGGGAAGAATTGACAACAGCTGTGTGGAAACTTTTTGTGAAGACATAACACAAGCAATCTTGAATGCAGCGTCGAAAGCCATCCCAAGGGGCAGCCGGAAGGCATATAAACCTTTTTGGAATCAAGAAATTCAAAATACTATATCTGAAAGGAATAAAGCAAGAATATTTCTCGAAACTGCACGTTCAACAGAAACAAAGATCCAATACAATAAAGCATGTGCCAGAGTAAAGCTTGTAGTTAATAAGGCTAAAAGAGATAAATGGACAGAAACTTGCTCCAACTTAGACCTTAGACAGAATGGAAATAAAGCATGGACTTTAGTTAAAAACCTCTCCGGAGAAAGTAGAAGGGTGAACCCAAAACCAGTGACAGATGGGAGTAAGACAATCACTGAAGACAAGAAGAAAGCAGAACATTTCAATCATTATTTTGCCTCGGTTAACAGAGCAGGTAAGCTGTCAGAACTCGATAGAACACAGCTCTCTCAGTTGAAGAAACAAGAGAGAGCTCCAACAGCCAGCGACTCCCTTTTTGAAAATGAATTTAGCATGGATGAATTAGAGCAAGCCCTGAAGAAATTAAAACCTAGAAAATCTCCAGGCCCAGATAAGATCCACAACGAAATGCTGCTACATCTTGGCCGGTCTGGGAGAGAAGTAGTTCTCAGGCTTATTAATAAAACTTGGAGGTCAAGCAAACTTCCAAGGGCATGGAGGAATGCATATATCGTCCCCATCCTTAAAACCAAAAAGCCTCCAGATGACCCCAAAAGCTACCGCCCGATATCCTTAACATCATGCTTGGGCAAAGTTGCAGAAAGAATGATAAACAGGCGCTTATATTGGTTCCTTGAGAGTTCTGGTGTTCTATGCCATGAACAGGCAGGCTTCAGAACCAACAGCTGCACAGAAGACCAGCTGTTCAGACTGACACAAAGAATACATGATGGCTTCCAGAATAAGAAACACACAGTGGCAGTCTTTGTCGACCTCCAGCAGGCCTATGACAGAGTATGGAGAAAAGGTCTCCTGATGAAGATGATGAGCATAGGAATACATGGCAGATTGTATAACTGGGTGAAATACTTCCTGATAGATAGAACAATCCAGACTAAGATGCACAACGCAATCTCTTCTAAAGAAGTCTTGGAGGAGGGCTTGCCACAAGGCTCATCATTGAGCTGTACACTATTCCTAATCTTTATCAATGACCTGCCAGAACAAATCAAGGCCGAAAAAGCCTTGTACGCTGATGACCTAGCAATATGGCAGAGTCATGAAAATGTGGAAAGTGGAGCCCAAAGACTGAATGGAGACCTTAGAAGACTGCATGATTACTGCCAAAGATGGAAACTCAAGATTAACTGTGCAAAGACGGTCTACACAATCTTTACCAAAAGCCACCAAGTAGCAAGGAAGAATATTAACCTGAGGTTAGACAAACACCAAGTGATGAAAGAAGAGCATCCCACATACCTTGGAGTCACACTTGACCCGCAGCTCAGCCTCAAGAACCATATTGAAAACATCAGGAATAAGGCATTGAGGCGGTTACAGTTATTAAAGAGACTTGCAGGTACATCATGGGGATCAGACAAGGAAACTCTGAGGGGCTTATACCTAGGATATGTTCGCTCTGTGATAGAGTACAACAACTCACTGCTTACAACTTGTTCCAAAACTAACCTAGAGACTCTTGACAGAGTACAAAATAATGCCCTCCGATTAATCTGCGGAGCTATGCAGTCTACACCAACTGCTGCATGTGAAATCCATACAAATGTGGAACCCCTTGGGTTGCGGAGAGAAAAAGCCACTTTAGAAATTTATGAAAGATGCGTTAGGAAAAATCGTAACCATCCTAATAGACATCTTGTAGAAAACTGGGAATCCAAACAAAGAATAAAGCACAAATCGGTTTTACACTGTGTAAATGAAATTCAGGACAGATACCACCTCCCAGAAAGACGTCAAGGAATTCAGAATGTTGCAAAAAAACCTACCACCACATGCTCGCTTTAAAGCTCCAGAAGTCCAAACTAAATTGGTAGGCGAGGAAACCAAACAGTCCGACCCAATCGCTCTTATGAACTCATCACTAAAGACCGTTGATTCTTACCCCCAAGAATGGATACATGTCTATACTGATGGATCAGCATTTAAAGCTACCATTAAAGCAGGTTACGGAATCTACATAGGTTATCCCGATGGATCTGTTGAAGAGATTTTTGATGCATGCGGGGAATTCTGTTCAAACTATGAAGCTGAAATAATTGCACTGGAAACAGCAGTATACCACCTAAAGACTGTAATGGATGTTTACCCCTCAAAGGTCCAAAATATTGTCATCTTTACAGATTCAATGTCTGCCCTTCAAGCTCTGGAGGGCAATGAACGCTGCAGAACTGACATAGCCAAGATAATCCTGGATGCCGATCATCTTATTACCTCATACAACATCAGAATAGTGATGCAGTGGATTCCAGGTCATGACAGAGCTGACAGATTGGCAAAGAAAGGAGCAACACAAGAACAACCACCTACAGCGACAACCCTCCAGACAGCAAAAACACTGATAAGAGCTATAAACAAAGAGACTTGGTTGAACAGATGGGCCATGGGAGACACTGGAAGAGAGGTTTATAGACATATGTCTGGCCCTGATTCTAATGACAGCATTAACCATCTAACAAGAAGGGACCAGGCCACCATCTTCAGACTTAGAACGCAACATACTCCACTCAATGGACACCTAAACAGAATACAGCCACAACACTCCCCAGAGTGCCAGCTATGTAACTACCCCTACGAAACTGTTGAACACCATCTCTTTGAGTGCCCAAAACTCAGTGAGACAAGAAGAACGCTACTCCCTCCGAGACCAGACAAGTGGAACACCTTGTACGGAGGAAAAGAACAGCTTGTGAAAACATGCAAATTCCACTACATGGCATTGGGCCAAAGGGCGAAAGCTCATGCGCCGCTGGATCGATAACAACAACAACAACAACAACAACAGTATAGGTTCTAACAGCACATTAACACTTTTACTTACTTTTACAACAGTATAGGTTTTAACAGCACATTAACACTTTTACTTACTTTTACAACAGTGTAGGTTCTAACAGCACATTAACACTTTTACTTACTTTTACAACAGTATAGGCTCTAACAGCACATTAACACTTTTTTCTAACTACAACTGACATCTTTTTTATTGCTACAATATTTACACTTCAAAGTAATCTATAGAATTTAAAATGCTGTAACCCCTGTGTGGTTCCGGGGTGCCCATTGTGTGTGTGGGGGGGGGGGGATTAATAGACCCACTGCCTCCTTAACAAGCATGCTGTAGGAGTTGTCTATTTAGAAGATTCCTTCAAAGTATGAGTGCATCTGCCTGAGAGGCAAGGAACAAAAAGTCTCCATACAGTCAGGCCAAATCTGTAAAATGGGTGCACATGCAAAACTCATGTCCTTGAACAAATCCAAAGTCTAAAAGAAATGAATGAACAACCAGGACTTTCCACACACACACACACACACAAAAAACACATGCTGTAATATACCAAATAGGGTGATAAAAATTACAAGAATCCAAAGAAAATATGCAGTTAATAAAGATTCCTACCGTGGCAAGTACTGTGAATGCTCCAGGATCAAGAACATAGATGGCTTTACTCTCAGTTCCTAAAATCAGGCAGCTGATAGCGTCCTCATCTGCCACAGACTTCTTCATTGTGTCCAGACAAGTAACCACAGTCTGGCAGACACCAATGCTCATCATTAATAACTTCATAGAGCATCTCAGTTGTAAGATCATTATTACTAAACTATCATACTTATTCATCATTACTAATACCATTTTGCTATTACCTGGTGAGAGGATTTGTATACCATGTAAGAAATGCTAAGTATAACACAAAATATGACTAGAAAGCGCAATGGGGGGATTAGAAAAGTTGCACACAAACACATCCAACCATTTCGACCAAAGCCTTTATCAACGGAGTACTAAATACAGCATAAACTGCGACTAGAAAACTCAACAGGCAAGACAAGAGGGCTAATAAAAAAACCAAGGTCAACATAACATTAAGAAGTACATAATGAGGGGAAGAGTATGAATATGCAGGCTATAATACAATATGAAATAAATAAAAAGGTGATGTGAAAAGAGGGGACAAAAAATGAATAAGTTCATTAAATGAACAAATACATTATTTAAATTAAATTAAGCTGTATTTTATATAAAAAAACCAAGGTCAACATGACATTGAGAATTACGTAATAAGCGGAAGAGTATGAATATGCAGGCTATAATACAATATAAAATAAATAAGAAGGCGATGTGAAAAGAGGGGAGACAAAATGAATAACTTCAATAAATGAACAAATAAATTATTTAAATTAAATTAAGCTGTATTTTATGTAAAAAAACCAAGGTCAACATGACATTGAGAATTACGTAATAAGGGGAAGAGTATGAATATGCAGGCTATAATACAATATAAAATAAATAAGAAGGCGATGTGAAAAGAGGGGAGACAAAATGAATAACTTCAATAAATGAACAAATAAATTATTTAAATTAAATTAAGCTGTATTTTATATAAAAAAACCAAGGTCAACATGACATTGAGAATTACGTAATAAGGGGAAGAGTATGAATATGCAGGCTATAATACAATATAAAATAATTAAGAAGGCGATGTGAAAAGAGGGGACACAAAATGAATAACTTCAATAAATGAACAAATAAATTAATTAAATTAAATTAAGCTGTATTGAATATTGATCTCACCAGGACTAAAAATCCCAAAACTGTGGATGAAATAATTTTCTAATGAGTAGCTGCTGGTTTGATCACCAGAGCAGGATTTAATAGCAGTGACTGAGGTATCGTTTTCACCTTGGCGGTCAGAACTGTTAAAATGCAGCCTTACTGCAAATGTCAGCAAGATGTTCACGGAAGTGATCGGCTAGCTTCCTGCCAGTTTTCCTAATATATTCCTTTTTACATCTTTTGCAGACAATGGCACAAATTAAGTTACGCGATTCACAAGTGAATGCTTCTCTAATGTAAAATAAACTCTTCAGGAAGCAAACTGAAGGGGTTTGGATCACAAATGGTTTTACATCTTGTACAGGAGCATTTGGAAGTACCAACAGTAACTGTTTTCTGGAACAGAGGCAGTCTGCTTCTGACAAGCCAGCACTGTACACTCAACACTGCATAAATACACACCATTCAGAACATAATCAAAAATGTAATCTGCTATTTTTAGTGCAGTTCATAACACAACATTACAAAATATTTCACATGAAATCTACGGCTGACAGTGTCGTATCAAGCACTCGGCTTAGTAGCTGGACGATGGAACCTTAGGACTCCTGGCAGATAAATAATTTGCATCGGCAAACCCTGGCTAGAAATAGAAGAACTTTTCAAAGTGTCAGCAGTAAGCCAGATATCTACCGTACTGGACCAGAAGTCACTGTTGCATATATATCTTTTTTCTTCGCATTCACCGGCTCTAAACTTCATCATGAAATTATGGTTTATTTCATTCACTTCTGGACCTGTTCCCTAACTTGAGTTTTGCATATAAATTCATTTTACAAATCTGGCTTATTTATATGCAGACTGTAAGTTCCTCACCTCTCAGGCAGAGGCACTCTGTCTCCTAAAGAAAATACTCCTTAACAATAAACTTTTACAACATGCTTGCTAGGTGGCAGTGTGTCTATTCCCCCCCCCCCTCCCCTCAAGAATGGGGCCCCAGAACCCACATGGGGAAAATATATATCATACGTAACACTGTTACAATCCTACCTGTTTTTTTAAGGGTGTGTTCTTGTGTAAGTTGACAAAATTCTCTATCTGGTTGTTGTCCAGCTGCAGAAGTTGTAATGATCTCACAGTCAAAGGGGTGCTTTCTTGTCTGAAATCAGCAAAGTTGATCAACTTGTTAGAAATCAAGGACCTTCTTGACACCACTGTTCAACTGGTCATATGGTACTAAACCTATATGTGTAAACCACAAACTTGCTATGAAAGGGAGATAATATGAACGAAAAGACAATGAAATAAAATAACTTATGGTAAGAAGAAAAAGAAAAAAACAAACATTATATAATGTGAGCAGAATCTGGCCAATAATGATTACCACTTGCCAGGTAGGGACAAGTCACCATTCTACACCTCAGGACTGGGCATAAGAAACTTGACAATATAACATATGCACAGGCTTCGTCTGAGTAGTCCATCAGTGTGCCCATGTGGGTTGTGCGTACAAACTGTAGAACATGTCTTATGAGACTGTCCATCTGTACAGCCCAATAAGAAGGGAATACTGGCCTAATGAGTCAACACCAAACTCAAAAGTTGTATGAAACTAAGTAGAGGACCTGTTCCATGCCTTCAGGCATTTTGGGCACATAGGGCTAGACCTATATTTTATAGACCAATTTGTACTCAGTGCATGAGGTGGTAAACACTACACTGGCCACCTTTACTTCCCAAGACTTTATCTAGTACCCATATAAGGTTGGGTCGACCTGAGAACCAAGGTCATTTTTGAAAAAGTCTGGCTCCATCAGGACTTGAACCCAGAACCTTTGGATCTGCACTTGAGCGCCTAGCCACTACACCATGATGGCTCCCATTATGGAACAAAAGAGGAACTAAAAAAAGGGGGTTGGGGGATTTTAACACTGGAACTCATTCTCTCAGTGTAAATCATGGAAGCAATCACAAGAAGAAGAACCTATATGTGCACAGACCAAACCTATACTGTTCTTCATAGTCCATTAAAAAAAATACTGAAAAACATGTCAGTCCTAGCAAAATCTTAAAGCACACACAGGCAAACTAAATGCATAAGGTAGCCATCAGATGTATCAACACTAACCAGAATTGCAGCTCACTGCTGATGCAAGCAGTCAATTAGGAAAACCAAGATTTAGTGGGTAATGTGGTCAACATCACACTAGACATCTTTACCTCCCAGGATATTTTCTGGTATTCAATTAAGAGCTGGCTTGATGCAGATTTTAACCTAAGGCATTTGGACAAAGTTCAACTTTCTTGTCAGAAATATGTAGAGTTAAACACTCTTGTATCTTCCTCTTCTTTTTCTTCTTGGTGCTCACTGGCTGTAAACTGGCAGAAAGTTCTGGCTAATCATCCACTTCTAGACTCTAGTCTTGTTTCAGAACTTGAGTTTTATCTTCTTCTTCTTCACGTTCACCAGCTGTAAACTCTGGTGGAAAGTTCTGGTTGTTTGTCCACTTCTGGACTTCAGTCTTGTTCCAGAACCTGAGTGTTGAGTACACATCCGTTTAACAGATAGGACTTAACTGTAAGCAGATTGTTGGTTCCTTGCCTCTCAGGCAGATGAACTCTGACTTCGAAGGAAGCCCCCAATTAGTCAACTCTTACGACTTGCTTTGTTGGTGAGGGTGGAGACAATAGTGTCAAGCTGGAAGTGGCCAGTCTTGCAATCTACATTAGGGACAGAAGAAGGCTGTGAACCAAAACCAGAATGGCATGATCAACTGTTACACACTCAGGTAGAGATCAGAGCACCTATGAAAATCCTGAATGCAATAATGTTTGACACTTCTGAAACTGCCATCTTTTATCTGTAAATTGTAACAGAGAATCTCTGAGGAATGATGACAGTAAACCGCGAGCAAACTTGAAGTGTGAAGATTTACCTCAAAGCCTCAAGTGTTTCTTTCATTCTGTAAATACTGATGTGATCCTGGGGATGAAAAGAAAAAAGCGAATCAATAATTTCCTGAGATCGCATTCTCCCTGTGTGGTTTCTGGGGCCCTATTTTGCAGGTAAACAGAATAGACCCACGGTGTAGCCACCCCCCCCCCCCTACCCCCGGCCCCAGCAAGAATGTTGTAAACAGCAACTAATTAGGGGTTTCTTTCAAACTTAAAGGTGAGGAACCAACAGTCTGCATGAAAAAAAAAAAAAAAAAAAGCTAGATCTGTCAAATGGATGTACATGAAATACTTAAGTTCTGGAATATGACTCAAGTGCAAAAAGTGGGTGAATAACCAGAACTTTCCGCCAGAGTTTACCGCTGGTAAGCATTAAGAAGAAGAAGAGACGACATTCTGTTATAAACTAACAGACGGGGGAAATTTAGCTAAGAATTAGAGATCTGGGGAGTACAGACTGGCACAGCTGGGCATGAAAGGCAAATCATATGTTTCATCCATCTTGTCAATAAGTATAGGACAAGCATTATTAGTCACAGGATACCCCTGTGGGTTCCAGGGCCCCATTCTGGGGGGTGGGGGGGGATAAGAACAGACACACTGCCCCCTAACAAGCAAGTCAAAAATTTGACTAATTAGGGGTGTTTTCTTCAAAGTTGGAGTGCATCTCCCGGAGAGACAAGCAACCAGCAGTCTGCACATAAATCAATTAGATCTGTAAAACAGATGTACATACAAAACTCAAGTTCTGGAAGAAGACTGAAGTCCAGAAGTGGACAAACAACCAGAATTTCTGCTGGAGTTTACAGCCAGTAAAGGCAAAGAAGAAGTCAAAGGATGACGATATGAATGCTGACAGGGGTGAGGGGGTTTGGGGTGAGTGAGCACCTATGAACATGCCTGGAGTGACATGAGGATAACCCAACTCATAAAATGAGCCAACAGTCAAACAGACATTATTTATTACCGGTAGCAAATGATAAGTTCAACAAACTTTCATCTAGTCTACAGCTAATGGATTGTTCCATGTAAATTCATCAAACTTTCATCTAGTCTACAGCTAATGGATTGTTCCATGTAAATTCATCAAACTTTCATCTAGTCTACAGCTAATGGATTGTTCCATGAAGCAAGTTTTCTACTTTTTTGTTGAATTTCTCCCTTCTAGGATTTCATCCTGAAAGACTGAAACCCGTTGACTCTAACAGCCACTTGCTGGGATAGGGATCAAACAGCCACTTGCTGGGATAGGGATCAAACAGCCACTTGCTGGGATAGGGATCAAACAGCCACTTGCTGGGATAGGGATCAAACAGCCACTTGCTGGGATAGGGATCAAACAGCCACTTGCTGGGATAGGGATCAAACAGCCACTTGCTGGGATAGGGATCAAACAGCCACTTGCTGGGATAGGGATCAAACAGCCACTTGCTGGGATAGGGATCAAACAGCCACTTGCTGGGATAGGGATCAAACAGGAGAAAACTCTGGAAGCTCTATTCAATAGCATGACATAGTCATATTGAGGCATCTGACAGTCAATAAAGTAACCTGTAGCCAAATGTAGGTGAGTTGCTGTCTATCTGAATCTTCTTTCTATCCCATAATTTCACTTGTAGGTCACCAGAGTTCATGGTGAGCTAGTTCACAGGCTAAGTCTTCCAGTGCATCCCATCCATCAACACATTTCCATGCTGCAGTTTTCCACTGTTTTGAGTTCTTAGTCCAGAATTTATCTTGTCTTGTCTTTTGACTGCTAATCCTTACATTTAACTTTAGAACTGCTTCAATACGGTTTACAAACCTTTTACAAACCTGTACAAACCTGTACAAACCTTGTACCAATGGAGCAAGAAAAAGAGAGAGATAGACAGAGGATTTAGACAAACAGATAGATCAAATTGACTTTATTTTATAGCTAAAGAGAGAGAAAACAAACAAAAGATTAAACAAACAAGTACATTTTTAAGTCACTAATTGGGAACACAGACAAAACTTAACTTAGCCCTTCTAACCACTCATCTGTCACACAGCAGAGAGAGAAAAACTGAGGCAGACCAAGAAATACAGATAGAGAAACTGACTAAGAAAGAGAAACAAAAAGAGAAACAGACAGACAGAGACAGACAGACAGTCTAGTGTAAAGTCTGGAAAAACATGTAAACACAGACATCTCTTGCTTGGTCCCACAGCTCCTGCTCCATTGGGTGCACATCCAAGGGAGGTAGTGTGAACTTGAAGTAGGGTCTCAGGTTTTTGTAGACATAAATATAAGGCCCCGATGCCACAGCAATAGCTGCAGAAGAATACAAAAATTTACTTCAACTAAAACAGCAAAGGTAGCACTTTACAGAATGAAGAATATTCTATGCAATCTTTCTTTGTTAGCTGAGATGAGAAAGAGAATTCTTGAAAGGTATAATATATAAATCCTATCCTAATGTGAACCATGAACAGTTGGTTCATTAGTGAAGAATTATCTGGAAGCTGCAGAGATGTGGTTTTATAGATGAATGATGAAAATACCCTGGACAGATAAAAAGTGTTATGAAGATGTCTTGAGAGAATCTGATTCATGAAGAGAACTGATTGCCCACATCAGAAACAGGCAATCTACATTCTTTGATCATGTGATAAGAAGTAGAAACCAGGAATACATCGTGACAGTAGGAATACTGGAGGCAGAGGGAGACAAATTGAGATGATGCTAGACAGTTTGACATCATGGCATGGAGGATCATCTGGGTCAGACATGACTGAAACTACACGAGACAGAAGGTTGTGGATAGACATCACTATGAACACCACACTGCATGAAATATAAGAAGAAGAAAATAGCAAATATCCACAAACTTGCCTTAGGTGGACAACTAATTATCTGTTCAATTGTATAATTGTTAAATGATCATTTGTGAAACTTTGATAACAGTACATTATGTGTTAAATAACATATTAAAATAATTAGCAAACAGAACAAAACAATTATGTACAAGTGAACACATATTTTCCCCGCTTTCAAAGTAAAAACAACAATCAAATAACATATTAATTATACTGTAATGAGATTTTATTTTAAAAATTAAAAAAAAAGCTTATGTTAAAGTACATACAAAAAACACACACAACTATCCATCGTTTACATCTACATATGGAGCATTCTTCACAACCAAAAGCCAGGTAAAACTAATACAGTCCAATCTGGCATCTGAGAACTCAAGCTTCTGGACCAGTCTAAAATTTCAAATCAAAAGTTTTTTTAAAAATGGTTTTGGGTGTCATAAGCAGAAAAAAAAAACATGATTTCTTGGCAACAAAAATCAACATACCAGGAGTTCTCGGTTCAAGGTTATCCATATAAAATGTGACAACTCCTGTCGGCAGGTCTATGATTGTATGCTCGCTCATCAAAGTTGTGTCTGGAGAACAACAATAGTTTACATGCTTACCCACATAAAATCAGTGATCCAATCTGGAACTAGCAGGAAAGATTGTGGTAGAGCATACAGCAGGTAAAAGTTAGCTGTGTATCTTTGGAAACCCATTCCAGCTGTTTTGTTGATTTGTCTTTTGTTTCAAATATTTTGTGGTTTTACTGAGCAATTTAATTAGTAACCACGGAAATGAGATGTCTGAAAAAGCTTAGTGCTGAATGAGATCATAAGAGAACAGGTCGGCACAGACCAATTCATTACATACAAAGACAGCTGAAATTTTGTTAGAGATTGCATTGAGACACCATACCATAAAAAGCGTTGTTTCAAGAAAGGATAACACAGAGAAACTCTGTACGATGTGCCTATGCGAGGCAGCCAGAAGAGCTAGAAACAGAATTTACTGAGCGGACAAGCGGTTTAAAAGAGGAAGTGAAGAAGAAGAAGAAGAAGACTGAGCAATTTATGCTAAATAGTTTGTCAATTCTTTCTGAATGGTCAACGCTTCATAGCACTGTCAAAATCAATGCAAAGCAGTCTGCTGTCAAATCTTCCACAGCTAGAATATGTATTATTCACATAATTAACTGCCTAAAGAATTATAAGTATCAACACTCTTCAGCATCTTCTTATGTAGTCGGATCACATATGGACATACACAAAGTGAAGTCAGTGTTGGAGGACAAACTTTGACTCATTAAATACTGAATATTCACCCTTCACATATTGTTCCTGTTCCACAGTGTTGGGATGTTACTTTTAGATGACTCTTTCTAAGAAATTATGTAAAACGTAAACATAACTTCACTACAGGTGCTAGCATCAAAGAGTGAGGTTAAGGTTTCACATATACTAGATAGTCTGGTGAGACTGATGCAGTGGGGAGTGACGAAAGGTTCTGGCAGATGCTCGAGGCTCAGAAGGAAAGGCAAAGAAAGACGGATGCTTATGCTAATGGCAACATTAGTATCGGAACCTCTCGCTTGCTGAAGATGAGGATGGACTAGGAATGCCCCGAGATGCTGTGATATGTTCTGAAGCAAATCATAACGAGATACTAGATGTAGAGATGGGGTGACCAACTTTCTTCCCTCTTGCGCTTCCTTCCCAGTAAAATATATACTACCCATACAACAAGCTTGGGTATTCCAAGATCCTATAAAAGTAAGTAAATGTATCTTATTTCTCAAAAGAGACTTTAGTCAACCCTCTTTTCAATACAATAAGAGAAAGTGTGTCCTATATAAATAAGGCAAAATCAGGTGTTGATGGAAATAGCCAGCCGAGGCAATTACAGGCTTGTTAGCTCCAGAAAATTGAGTCACTAGCTACTCCACAGGAAGCCGGTGGAATGAAGGAAAATGTACCATAGACTTGGCAAAGAGTAGTCTGGAAAAGAACAGGCAATAAGCAAGATTTGCGAATACAAGCATCTCCTTCATAAAGCGTCGTAGGAAAAAATGGCCAAAATTCTTGGAACCACGAATTATTACCGGTGTAGAAAGACGGCTCATACACGGTCCTAAATGCAGAAAGTTAGCGAAAAGCTATCAAATGCAGCGCTTTCATAGAAAGCTTCGTCGGAACTTGAGTTATGGAACTCTTGCTACGGTAGAAATGGAAACAATTTTTAGATTGTTTATTGGCCTATTTATAGACAAATGCAATGCGCCATTAAAACGGAGTTCACAGACTGGTTCCCCTTCAAATCTAAGGAAAGGTGTATATCGGACAATATTAATAAAAATAGAACATCACACCAAACAGAGGTCGATAAACAAGGAGGACTTCATGAGCTGCTCTATGCCCGACAATGCAGTGATAGTAAAATGCAAGGTGTCTACAGACGTTGCCTCAATCACATTTTGAAGATCAATACTAGAAGTCATCAGTAATGCAACGACCATCGACATAAATAGATGAGGTGACAACTATCTTGTACCCATGGTAAAAATCTTGCACAATGTCCCATACCAGACTTGCCCCAATTTTAAAAAACACACCATGCTTTCCCAGCTGAGATGATAAACAGACCAAATTATTACAATACGATTATATACACCGACAGTAGGCTACCCACCTTGGACATTAACAAAAGAACACGAGGGTACTCCAAGATAAAATTTTGAATAGATCCGAAAAGTAAGAAATGTGTTACAAGCTATCTTGTTTTATTTCACAAGAATGAAATGGTTGGGTCAAAAGACGATGACAATCAAGAGAATACAACTTAGTCAACCATCTGGATTTCTACGGACCAATACATAAGATCAAAGAAGCGACTGTATGGCTCTATTAGCCGACATACTGATAGACTGCGACTAGCCGGCACAAGCAGAATTTTTGGACAAAAGCTGTGTATACTCTATTAGTCCCACTACATTTTAAGACTGACTGACACTTTATACTGATTTGGTTAATATCACACTGACCACCTTTTAAAGAAATGTTTAAATTAGTTGTGTATCATTTACAGGAAGATTACAGAACCAACCTCGACATTTGTTGGCTGTTTGGGTTTTACTAGGCAATTTTACGTTCAGTAGTTTGCCCCGACTGCTGAATGGTCGGCTTTGTTAAAATCAATGCAAGGCAGTATGCTGCCAAATCACCCATAGCTGGAATCATAATGGGTATCTCAGAATTACAAATGGCTAAGCCACAAATGCCCAAAGAAATGTAGTGGTGCCCATTACAGACTAGGTTTATGTTCAAACATATCAACACCAGGCCAACAATCTATCCTCTGCACTATGCAACCCCTGGTTAATATTGTCTCAAACTGTCAATGTAGTGGGAACAGGTCACCAGCACCTGGGTAAGATTCAACATTACAGTATTCAGGACAGCCCATAATAGCTCCCTCACCTTACTCAACAGCTGGTGAAATCTCCATACTGATGGTACCATTTGTCATCTGGTTATCTTGCCCCCCCCCCCCCCTTTTTACACCGTTCCAGTCTTGAGTGATGCCCACAACCTATAGACACTCCATGCTGCATCATCATCTCCAGGTATGGGTTTTCAATATCTTTCATTTTACTTGCTGACTTGTCCCATAGGGGAGAGATCACCTCTGCCTCGTGCAGATGCAGCAAACCCCCAACTGGGACCAGTCCAACCAACCTATCTGCCTGTTCATTCCCAACAACATCTACATGGCCCAGGCTCAGGTCACCAGTAGATGGTAGCTAACCTATTATATATTTATTTTTAAATCTTGAAGGCCAGACAACCAGTATTTGGGCAGGACATTTCCCAATTATTCATAATTTCCATCAAACGTTTTTTGTTTTTCTTTGCCCTGACTAAAAAGTTTATATATTACTTTTTAACTACTTATAATTTAGAAGAAAAAAAAAAAAAACTTACATGTAATGTTTACCAGTAAATTAAAACTATCAGAAAAAAAATATCATTAACCAAACCCTCATGACCTTTAATTCTTGTAGTACTAGCCTGCAATAGTTTTAACTCTCTCTAACTGAAACATTCTAGTTTACAGTTGGCAAAGTCTGAGCCTAAGGAAGTTAAAATACAGTAAAACCAAGTTAACATGAACATACTTAAGAAGAACACATATTTAAGAAGAACTCATGCTTAACCACACCACCCACCATGTGCCGATTGGTCCATAAAATATAGGTCTAGCCCTATATGTCCAATACCACTGAAGGCATGGAAAAGAGACCTTAACCTTACTTTATTATTGAAGCACAAACTATCTGCACACACAAAAAACATAGGCACAAAAGACACAAACTTTTATAGACTTTGAGCTTCATATCGTAGCTTCCAGTCCCAAGGTCTGCAACTATAAGCTTCCAATCTCCATCTGCTTGAATGTCAGACAAGGTCAGACACTGCGTGAAAGTGTACAGCGATGCGAGTGGGTCATGATAGGCATCCAGCCACTTGTCATTACTGCCCTGCCTGGGGAAAAAAAGTTCACAATGATTGTCTGGATAATCTGGCCACACATGGCATCATCAAGACTTCAGCTTCTTCTTGTTAATTCTTTTTCTACTTCTATGTTTAGAGATTTAGACGATGGATCAAGATCATGGCACAAGGATAGTAACCCATAAGTGCTCCGTTTTACTTCTGACTCAAGCCTGAGTCAGAAAAATCTCAGTGAAGTGCACGAACTCCGTAGCACCTGTGAGGATCCGGTAATACTTTAGGTAGATTTTTAACTCCAAATTTTGCCCGGGCAGCGCCGTTAGACTACTCTTTTTCAGTTTCTAACTGTCAAGGATTTTTTACATGCACAACGATACACATGGGCGTCCGATCTTACTACTCAGAGACCAGGGGAAATTACTAGAAGTCACCGGGACTTGAACCCAAGACCTCCAGCACTCGAGGCAGACACCATGCCTCAAGATCACGCAGCTCGGTTCTACTCCTATGTTCACCTTTTCAGTGGGTAGTTGACATGTGTTTTCCCAGCTCAGTAGCAATATCTGTGCTTTTGGACTCAATACATCAGTTTTTGTTTTGTTAGGGAGCAGTTTCTTCTTCCCCCCCCCCCTTCCCCCACTCTCTTCTGGCACCCACTTATAGAATAATGAAGACAAGAACAAAGACATGATCCATGACTCAGGTGATTGTGTGAGATGGCCAACAATGATCTGGCCCTTATTCCCATGACATTTTTGGTCCATGTCATTGAGGTAGTGTTGATCATCCTGTCCAATCACAGAAATCCTATTTGTGTACCCAGGACTGCTCTAATGTGGCCCCAAAGTGCTCTGATGGTGGTGATAATTTTTAATTCTTCTAACATTTTCGATAATGTTATTAAATAGGTTAACAAATCTGCTAACAAGGACTCTCTCAGGGTGCCATCTCGCAACAACTTCTTGGGTTTTCGACCACGTGGTGAAAAGATTTTGGATGATACTGAAGGGTTCGCACAGGATAGAACAGAATAGAGGACAAGACTGCGAGCGCTACGAAACATATACTGAAAGGATGCTGATGATAAAATCTGCTGCTCAAATAATGTTTTACAAGAAACTAATAACAAAATATTAATTCCTTGTCTATCATCATCATCATCATGTGTTGTGCCAGTAAGCGTAGGCTGTCATGTTCGCCATCTCAAAAGATCACCAGAATCACAAAATCAGTTCAATGTTTTTGTCTCACCCAATCCATTTGGCCAGGCCATCTATTATTTGTCTTTTTGGCTTCCTTTTACTTTCTTTCTGTCAATCTTGTAGGTCGTTACCAAGTTATCAAATTCATTTCTTGTCATTTGTCCAAAAAATAATGATTTCTTTGTCTATGGCGTGCTTTAATAAATTAGAAAGTAGTTAAAGTAGAGTTTGTAAATGTAAAGTCAAAAAAAAAAAATAAGATTTAAAAAAAAAAAAAAGCAAAAGTGATAAATTCTGGCAGAAGTAATGGCCGTTTTTTTGTTTTAATTTTATTGTGGCAGAAAGATAAATTCTTGGTATATTCATCATCAGTCAGCAACTCCTTTACAGAATGTCACTCTCCTCACGGCATGTCTGAAAGTATCCCTTTCCTTAGCCAGCTCTGTAACCCCATGGCTTTCAATGCCAATGTATCTACGGTGTTCTTTAACCATCTTTGTGGAGGGTGACCCCTGTCTCGCTTTCCACAAACCACATCCTTTATCCCTGTCTTTTGCAATGACGTTTGATGTGGTCAAAATACTTCAAATTTTGGGACAGGATGCTGTTTATGAGCCAGTTCTCCTTGATGTTTAACTCGTGTAGAATGTAGATGTTTCTCCTCTTCTTGATCAATAGTATTCTGAGAACTTTTCTGTAACATTTTTTTTCAAAAGCTTCAATCTTTTTCTTCAGTGATTTAGTGGCAATCCAAGACTGACAACCGTCAGTTGCCACAGAAAAAAATACGGCACAGGAGCTTTGGCTTTACCATAGGTTGCCGGTGTGAGGCTGACTTACATCACTCACCAAGTGCCGACTTGTCGATAAAAATATAGGTCTAGCCCTATATTCCCCAATAATACGCCTAAAGTCGTGGAAAAGGGTCCTTTACTTTGCCATAGTCTACATCATAACTACATGATACATGCTGTATCTCTGCATCTTAGCAGTAAGTAAATATTTTAATCGCTAGTAATAGTAGTAAATACTAGTAGTAGTAGTAGTAATAGTTTAGTATGCATAGTAAATTATTTTCACTAATAAAAGTCATACATGTTTATTGTGTGCTGCTGCTGTTGTTGTATTGACAACTTTGAAGTATTGCTCAACATAGTGGCGAAGAGACGATCATTTCACTAAAGTAAATCATTTAGTTGCAGGAACCCTCAGATTGTTAACACCAAGCGGTTGCCGACAACAACATAGGCAGCCATATTTGGTATTTAAAAGTTGGAGTGGTGTGTAGAAAACAATATACTTTCTTCACGAAACAATTTATTATTTCAGAACACAACGCTTTAATCTTGTATATGGTATTCTACTTATTCTAGAAGTATGCATTTCAAATTGTAGGATGAAATTAGGAGATGGATCAAAAGCAATCTGAGACTTTAAAATCAGAGAAAGAGAGATTGATTGATTGGGGATCTATTGCAGCCAACTTCCAATTTGGAGGCGGCACCTCATTTGATTGGAAATATGCTCTGGCGATCATACTACCCGCCTCGCTTTGGAAAATCGCCTTATTCACAGCCTTGGCGTTCTTAGTCCAAAAGGTATCAATATCCAACATACCTTCATCTAAATAGTTCTAATCTTATCACATTTTAAATGTTAACTATTTTATTTTATTTCATATTATTACCATATTCTATTTCTTATCAATATCATTTATGTAACATTAACACTTGCATTTCTTTTATTCCCAGTATTGTGACTATATTTTTTAGCCATCGTTTATTTTATTTTATTTTTTTTCATTTATTCCGCATCACATTTTTTAAACGTCGCTCACGTCACCCCTTAGAGATCTACATATTCTCCATTCCTCGTTTGTGTAGTCCACTTGTGTTTGAAAAAGGCTGCCTGGCCGAAACGTTACGTTGTGTTGTTTTGTGCACGTTTTCCTCTTTCCCATTTTGTTGAGCTTTTTTGTCAAATTTCTCTGGAATTCATTGTATTAGCTTGACTGCAGTCACCCCCATAGTTTCACCATTTTTGGAAATATAGGGTTCATTTGTCCATCTCTCACCATGCCCCACTATATAATGCATCAGTTCTTAGATGACGACATTCTGGCTACATCTGCAGTCACTGAAATGAAAGCATTCATTTGTCACCAAAACGGATGTACAGGGGGGCGTGGAGGGGGGGGGGGGGGGGAATTCACGTAGCAAGGATTGTCATGTTAGCAATCAAGGCTCTCCTCCGAACTTCTACCCCCGCAGTATTGCGGCCTGAAATATCCGTTCGGGGCGCAGTCCAATAAAATATATGCCGGCTCCGTATAACGAAACAAATGCTCTAACAGGGTCTCAGTGATATGCTACTTGTGGACCTGTTTCTTATTGTTTCTGATTACCTGACAATTCTAAGAGACGCACGCAACACTGCAGACGAAGGTAGCAGACGATAATAATAGCGACCGTTGACACTTTCCATTGTCGAACTTTCTGCCGACGAACAAATCGCGACAAATCTAGGATCGGTTCGGAAAAACGAAAAAAATGCTCTAACAGGGTCTCAGCGATATGTTACTTGCGGACCTGTTTCTGTGACTATGCCTCACCACCGAGCTAAACTAGATGGCTGGGACTCACGAGCGGCAGCTACCGTATATCCTGCAACTTCCTCCAATTACTTTGCCCGTGAGTCCCAGGCACCTAGTTTACCCCCCCCCCCCCCCATCCGCGCCGCTCGTAGCGGTGCGGGGGACACGCTCGGTTGTGAGTTTAATCGCGTTTTGCGCATGCCGACAAGCCTGACATCTACCGCTGCTAAATCCTCATTTGGAAGAACAGTTTTGCTAATCTGCGTGAGAGCGCGTGGTCTACCCGCCATATCGCTTTCATCGTCTGTAATGTCTCGTTTTTATCGTCTGCTAGTATCGTCTGCAGAAAACGCTCGACATTGTCACCGGTCCCTTTTATCGTCTGCTTCTATCGTCTACAATGTTGCCGCAATTTGTTCCTCGGCGGGAACTCCGACAAGTCCGTATTTTTAATTGGACTGCGCCCAGAACGGATATTTCAGGCCGCAATACTGCGGGGGTAGAAGTTAGGAGGAGAGCCGCAATCAAACAGAGGTTTGCTGTTGCAGACTTCGGAAGTTGATCGTCTACTACAACCACATCGCTGTGGTTTGTATGTCCAGTTAATATTAATTAAGAATCAGCATCATGGCATTCGAGACATCTCCATGAGCGCTCCGTCCCCCATATCAGCAGCAAACGCAGAATTCCAATTCTGATGGCATCAGTAACTATCTGATTGTATATCCGTCTCCCTTGAGTGCTAGAGTGTCAGCCAGTTTCCATGGTAACCACTCAGCACCGTTCTCGTCAGACCGTAATGATCTATCTGTGCTTCTGGTCACTCATTCCCAAAGGGCCCTCACAACATATACCTAGTCATTTATCAACTCAACACTAACTGGTACAGGACAGCCAGTATATCTGCCTGCTCGTTTCACACCACACCGATATCCTCTGGAGAAAATATCGTAACATCTCGTTTGAGAATGAAGGTGAAAGCAGCTGGCTTGGTAATTTGTCGGGAAAATTATTTGACGGTTCCAACTTCGGACAAAAGCAGAGAATAAAGTTTTATAACAAGGTCAAACAAACATGTTAATAATCAACTTTCTTGATCCTGTTTATCAAATTTTATTTATCTGGGGAATTAGTTTATGATATTTTAAAAAAGCGAATATCCTTTTTCACGCCTTTAGGTACATCGGGCATATGGGAAGAACATCCCATATTTTTACATACCAATCGGCAGTAGGTGGGTAATGTGGTCAGCATTACGCCGGCCTTCTTTACTTCTCCAGGACAGCCATTCTAGTACCCACTTTACCTGGGTCGACCTACGACGCCAAGTACCATGATAAAAACTCCCGCAGCCAGCAGTAGGTTTCGATCGCGGTACGTTGGAATGACGAGTCGGACTCGCAACGCTTTAGCCACGGGCGCCTCAGTTTATGATCTGACTGGGACAATATTTTCCCCAACAGATTTTAAGAAAACAAATCAAAGTTATGGAACGATGACTCAGCATGTTCGTCTTATATATAATAGTAGTGATCATGACTTGTCTCGGGTCAGACATTTACGATCCCACAATAATTGCGTTCTAATAGTGCAGTGGTTCAAGCTATCTTCTTCTTTTTCACTTCCTCTTTTACCGCTGTGGGTGTCGAGGGAGATATAAGGTTCTGTTTCTAGCTCTTCTGGCCGCCTCGACCATAGGCACATCGTGCTGTTGTAGAGTTTATATGATTTTATCATTCCATTTTGTTCTTGGTCTACCTCGTGCTCTACGTCCTTCTTCTCTTTCCATGTATGCTTTGTATGGTATGGTGTCACAAGGCATTCTCTCTAAGTGGGCAAACCATTTCACTTGCTGTCTTCGTATGTAATCTAGAATTGGTTCTGTGCCGACTTTTTCTCTTATGATCTCATTCCTGATCTTATCTCTTATGGTCACTCCTACAGCCCTTCTCAGACATCTCATTTCCGT